ATACTCAGATTTGATGCCTTCAACAAGCACTGACTGGGCTCTATTATTTAAGAAGTTTGAGATCCAGGAAGTACTTTTATCATCTATACCATAATGACTGAGTTTGTTGGTAAGAAGAGTTACTGACCTTATCAAATGCTTTGGAGATGATAAATAATAAGTACAAATTATAATTTTGTACAAAAAGGTGTTTGTAACGCTCAAACCATGCAATATTTCTGTAAGAAGCCAGAGCTCCCGAGAAAGACGTCTTGACGCTTGTACATGTGCACCCAACTCTGCTTGACTTGTATCAATAGCTTTGTTAGCTTCATGAATTATTGTAAAATATCCAATGAAAATAGACTACATGCAATCAATATTGAGATTTGAAGCATTTTCTTATATTTTTCTCGATAATAGTGAAATACAGGTATTTTTTTCATAAATTTAAATAAACAATGCAATTTTGCGCCCCTCAAATTCTGAATTCAACAATTGAAATAAGAGGTCCAACGGGCCTGAATCGCTCACCTGGTGTTAATCTCACACTTGTAATCTTAAAAGTGGACTAATCTACAGCTTCAGGCAAAATATCTGTGTTCGATCCATTTGAATCTATTAAATGATTTAAACATATGACGCCTCTGATCTTGAAAGTTTAAAGCCTTCTATCCCAGCATACTTCTGGCTAAATATCATTACCCTTAACCTTTTGAATATTCAGAACAAGTCATTTAAAGATTTAAACATATTTGATCCCTGTGACCTTGAATATGAGCAAAGGTCATTCATTTAAACAAACTTAGTAGCCCTTCATCCCGGCATACTACAGGCCCAATATCAGTATTCTGGGCTTTTTGGTTAATGAGAAAAGGTCGTTTGAAGATGTTTAACACATTTGACCCCTGTGACCTTGAAAGTGGGTCAAGGGCATTCATTTGAACAAACTTGGTAGCCCTTCATCCCAGCAAAATACTGACCAAATATCATTATCCAAGGCCTCTTGGTTATTCAGAAGTTGTTTAAGGTTTTAAACATATTTGACCCCTGTGACCTTGAAAGTGGGTCGAGGGCATTCATTTGAACAAACTTGGTAGCCCTTCATCCCAGCAAAATACTGACCAAATATCATTATCCAAGGCTTCTTGGTTATTCAGTAGAAGGTGTTTAAAGGTTTTAAACATATTTGACCCCTTTGACCTCGAATATAAGTAAAGGTCATTTGTTTGTACAAACTTGGTAGCCTTTTATCCCAGCATGTTACTGGCCAAATATCATTATCCAAGGCTTCTTGGTTATTCAGTAGAAGTTGTTTAAAGGTTTTAAACATATTTGACCCCTTTGACCTTGAATATAAGTAAAGGTCATTTGTTTGAACAAACTTGGTAGCCTTTTATCCCAGCATGTTACTGGCCAAATATCATTATCCAAGTCTTCTTGGTTATTCAGTAGAAGTTGTTTAAAGATTTTTTAAGACAATTGACCCCTGTGACCTTGAAAATGGATGAAGGTCATTTTTTTGAACTTACTTGGTAGCCCTTCATCCCAGCATGCTATTGGCCAAATATCATCACCCTGGGAATTTTGGTTGTTAAGAAGAAGTTGTTTAAAGTAAAGTATTGACGCTGGCAGACGGATGACAGATGCCGCACCACGGCATAACCTCACTTGGCACTTCGTGCCAGGTGAGCTAAAAAGGTGTCTTCCTTTGACCAATGAATTAATTTACCAGAATCCTGGTAAGCCTGGTTATGATGTCACAAAACGAAAGCACTGGGTTTGACCAGACTCTTGTTGTCTGTGCAAGCTACGCCGAACAGAGAGTCTGATCAAACCCAGTGCTTTCATTTTGTGACATCATAACCAGGCTTACCAGGTTGAACGAGACTACGAAAGTATGTACTCCAGTTATCATGGTATGCGTCCCATCGCCCCGTTGCAGATCAATACACCTATAGTGGCTCAATCGACCTAAAATGTATAGCTGTTAAAAATGTATAGCCGTATCATCTACTTCAAACATAAATGTTATACGTTATACGTCTTGAAAAAAAGATGCTCAAAATAACAATATCAGTTTAGCAACCTAAAGCATATTAAGAAAAAAGTATTTCTATTACATGTAATATTTATTCAATATCAATAGAAAAAAGGTGAGTGGGTGGTGGAGTCCAAGACAGAAACACATTTGTTACAACAAGAGGCCCAATGGGCCTGCATCGCTCACCTGGTATAAATCTCACCCTTGTAACCTTGGATCTAAAATAAAGCTACAGGCAAAATAAAATATCAGTATTTATGATTAAAATTCATTCAAAAGAACCTGTTATTTTTCTTTTTAAACGTTTCACCCCTGTGATTGAAAGTCGAACAAAGTCATTATGTTGAACAAATTTTATAGCCTTTCATCTCAGGATGCAACTTGCAAAGTATCAACATCCTGGGACCCATGGTTATTCAGAAGAGGTCGATTAAGGATTTTAAAACAAATTTGACCCCTGTGACCTTTAATATAAGTCAAAGTCATTCACTTTAACAAACATAGTAGTCCTTGATCCCAGCATGCTACTGACTAAATATCAACATCCTAACGCTTTTGGTTATTCAGAACAAGTTGTTATTTTTTTTTATATATTTTGACCATATTTGCTCCTTGTAACCTTGAATAAGATTCAAGGTCATACATTTAAACAAACTTTGTAGCCCTTCATCTCAGCATGCTACTGGCCAAATATCATCACCCTGGACATTTTGGTTATTCAGAAGAAGTTGTTAAAAGTTTTTAACATATTTGACCCCTGTGATCTTGAATAAGGGTGAAGGTCATTCATTTGAACAAACTTTGTGGCCCTTCATCTCAGCATGCTACTGGCCAAATATCATCACCCTGGGCATTTTGGTTATTCAGAAGAAGTTGTTAAAAGTTTTTAACATATTTGACCCCTGTGACCTTGAATATGGGTGAAGGTCATTCATTTGAACAAACTTTGTAGCCCTTCATCTCAGCATGCTACTGGCCAAATATCATCACCCTGGGCATTTTGGTTATTCAGAAGAAGTTGTTTAAAGGTTTTTTAAGACAATTGACTCATGTGACCTTGAATATAATTGAAGGTCATTTATTTGAACAAACTTGGTAGCCCTTCACCCAAGCATGCTACTGGCCAAATATCATCTCCCTGGACAGTTTGGTTATCGAGAAGAAGATGTTTAAAGTTTTTCACATATTTGACCCCTGTGACCTTGAAAATAGGTGAAGGTCATTAATTTTAACAAACTTTGTAGCCCTTCATCCTAGTTTGCTTCTGGCCAAATATCATCACCCTAGGCCTTTTGGTTATTAAGAAGAAGTCGTTTAAAGTAAAATATTGACGCCGGACGCTGGACGACAAGACGACGGACGGACGGACGACGGACGCCGCACCACTTCGTGCCAGGTGAGCTAATAAGGATAGTCATACAAAGTATGTGTATTGGAAATGTAGAGGGATAGAGCCACCACCGTTCATATGTGCTTGGGTGGATACAAGGGTCCCTTACCTTCAACTTGATACCTGGAAGTATGCAGGGTGATTGAGCAGTAGAGCAGAGTCAGGTTGATCTATCAGTCACAACAGCCTCACGGTAGGTTATATATAGATGTATATCCGAAAGTTACAATACATTATTACAATAAAAGAACTTTGAAATTGGTATTAACAAAACCTTTTAAAGTTGAGCGACATCACAAAATGTTTTGCATCAGAGATTCCTTGGGACCCTAAATATGAGAATGTGGTTCAGCATATTGCTTACTCTCCATACAAATGCCTCAACCTTATAAAAGTCAACAGCCTCTTGACTGTGGTGATCCAACATTGCATAAAAAAAACTTGCTCAAAAACTTTAACCTTTAGTGGGATGTCAACACAGATGATGGGGTGACTACATTAGCCCCCATTCTCTGAATAGGTGAGATAATAAGAGAAAAGCAAATATGCATATTTGTTGACAAGGGGTTCATCCTGAATATTGTAAATCTCAATTCTGTTATGTCAATGGCAAATAATGAATCGTAACATATCATTGAATGTAACGCAAGCTTAATATTAGTTTGAGGATCTGTTAATACATCCCTTTGACAGATGTGTGTATATACCAGTACTATTTCTTGTATATTTTGTTTTCACAGTGAGCCAATGTAAGCACACACTTGACTAATGGCATCTCAGTGGAGAGGCTGGGCTAACCCTACTTCATATCAAAAGCTTTTATTTCAATGTCACCTAATTGTATGTATAACATAACACATATAGTATTGCTTTACTTTGTAGGTGAATGGGTCAGGATGGGTGTGTCAATTTGTATCAACAAGGAGTGTTTTTTTGTGCCGCCTGTCCCTTCAGAAGGTGTTTGAACTGAGATAATGGATTCAGGATACATAGATGCAAAGCCAAATTTCACAGAATGTAACTTATCAATTAATTAATGAACCAGATTCTGATGTACCGACGTTTAGTGGTCAATACCATATTAAATCAGTCTCTGATCCATGAGAAAATACCAAAATTACAAAAATCAGTATAGACAAAAGAAATTCAATGAGCATTTTTAGAAAGATCATGTTTTCTTATTTGTAGACATTGCTATCTCTTGTCATATGTGTATCATTCTACACATATATAAAGGCTTTGGCTATAGACAAGAACCACAATAGGAAGCAGTGACTGTTCAGTTGTTTAAGTGTACTACCAGTAGTAAGCAGACATGTACATATACGGTTTACAATGTGCACAAGTGTACGACCAAGAGGAAAGAGACAGATCTATACAGTATAAGTATTGATTCAGGACGGACAACAGACCAAAGCTTACCAAAGTAAAGATATAAAATATACCATTTCTTTATGTCACAAGTGCATATAGTTCATAACAAATTTTATATCACCCTTGTAAAGATAATACTTTATATCACATGTATTATAAAGATATAGCTTTATATATCTTTACTTTGTCAAAGGTATAATCAGGCAGCTTGTCTTCACCTAGATTAAAATTGATTTTATTTAATGATGTTTAAAAACAGTTCAGCTGTTGACAACACAATATGAGTTCCACAATAACTTTTGATGTTAAACAAAACGCTACAATCTAGAAACTTGAGGGAGTATAGAAAGTTGTTCAAATGAAATCCTCCGAAGCCATTTTTACACTGTAAACAGAAACTAAAGCTGTACAGCATGTATGATTTAAAACAAGTTTAAAAAGTTTAAATAAATATGAGAAGATATTCAGAACAACATTTCAGTAATAAATCACCACCATATTTGCTGCTCCACAACATTAACTGTATGGTCCGGTGAAGAATCCTAAACCACTGCCTTCAAATCCATTATGTGCCAGCAGTCCACATCACTTCACAGAATATCAATATCAAGCATTTCCACATGTCTAACAGAATCCATGATAAAAGAATGTTTTATATACACAATCAAAATATTTTCTTAACCACAAAATTCCACAATGTTTCTTATGTATGCGATTCCTGTCCAACTCTGGTGTCTTATTCCGTCTATGGAACACCAGCTGGTTCTATGGCAATAATTGTCTCCCCTCACTTACAAAAGTACTGGAATGGTGCAGCTGTCCGTTGTCGTTTTCTGGCTTCCATTTGTGAAAAAAACTCTCTTATATCTTCTTCCTTTACAACCTACATAAACAAAAGAAAACTTCTACAATCACATCACATCATAATCACCCACCAACAGGTCAATCTTTCAGACATTATGATTACCCATTATGAAAGGAAACCCCATTTGTAAGTCAATTCATTTTTTTTAAAGTAAAGAATAGCAGAGTATTGCATTATTATTGACAACAAGATTGATACCTTTCCATCATCTGCAAACTTCTTGAGATAGGTACTCAGTTCACTCTTCATGTCATTGAACCCTGCAAAACAGACACATTTACTTAAATGGAGTGCTAAGTACAACTTTCACGTAGCTGTGGAAATATTCCGCATTGGGGGCATATTCCTATAATGAGATAATATCCCATAGCTTTTCCTGATTGGGTTGATCCCCATTTATTGTTGTTGTTGTTCCCCATTTATTGTTGATTTACATTTCTTGTCAATCAAAATTATCAATGTCGTTCCCCATTTATTGTTGCTGTAGAGCCCCATTTATTGTTGCTGTTGAGCCCCATTTGCAGGCTTAGTGTAATAGATCCAGTCATAAGTACTGCAACCACACCATCAGACAACACATCATCATGCATCTGACCGACCAACATCAGACAACACATATATCTGACCAGACCTCATCAGACAACACATGTAACTGACTAGACCTACATCAGACAACACCTGTAACTGACCAGACCTACATCAGACAACACATATAACTGACCAAACTTTCATCTGACAACACATATAACTGACTACACCTACATCAGACAACACATATAACTGACCAAACTTTCATCTGACAACACATATAACTGACTACACCTACATCAGACAACACATATAACTGACCAAACTTTCATCTGACAACACATATAGCTGACTAGACCTACATCAGACAACACATATAACTGACCAAACTTTCATCTGACAATACATATAACTGACTAGACCTACATCAGACAACACATGTTACTGACCAAACCTTCATTAGACAACACATGTAACTGACCAAACCATCATCGGACAACATATAACTGACCAAACCTTCATCAGACAATGCATGTAACTGACCAAACCTTCACCAGACAACACATGTAACTGACCAGACCTACATCAGATAACACATGTAACTGACCAGACCTACATCAGACAACATATGTAACTGACTAGACCTACATCAGACAACACACGTAACTGACCAGACCTACATCAGACAACACATGGAACTGACCAAACCTACATCAGACAACACATGTAACTGACTAGATCTACATCAGACAACACATGTAACTGACCAGACCCACATCAGACAACACATGTAACTGACTAGACCTACATCAGAAAGCACATGTAACTGACCAGACCTACATCAGACAACACCTGTAACTGACCAGACCTACATCAGACAACACCTGTAACTGACCAGACCTACATCAGACAACACATATAACTGACCAAACTTTCATCTGACAACACATACAACTGACTAGACCTACATCAGACAACACATATAACTGACCAAACTTTCATCTGATAACACATATAACTGACTAGACCTACATCAGACAACACATTAACTGACCAAACCTTCATCAGACAACACATATATCTGACTAGACCTACATCAGACAACACATGTAACTGACTAGGCCTTCATCAGACAACACATGTAACTGACTAGACCTACATCACACAACACATGTAACTGACCAGACCTACATCAGACAACTCATGTAACTGACCAGACCTACATCAGACAACACATATAACTGACCAAACTTTCATCTGACAACACATATAACTGGCTAGACCTACATCAGACAACACATATAACTGACCAAACTTTCATCTGACAACACATATAACTGACTACACCTACATCAGACAACACATATAACTGACCAAACTTTCATCTGACAACACATATAACTGACTACACCTACATCAGACAACACATATAACTGACCAAACTTTCATCTGACAACACATATAACTGGCTAGACCTACATCAGACAACACATATAACTGACCAAACTTTCATCTGACAACACATGTAACTGACTAGACCTACATCAGAAAGCACATGTAACTGACCAGACCTACATCAGACAACATATGTAACTGACTAGACCTACATCAGACAACACATTTAACTGACCAGACCTACATCAGACAACACATGTAGCTGACTAGACCTACATCAGACAACACATGTAACTGGCCAGACCTACATCAGACAACACATGTAACTGACTGGACCTACATCAGACAACACATGTAACTGACCAGGCCTACATCAGACAACACATGTAACTGACCAGACCGACATCAGACAACACATGTAACTGACTAGACCTCATCAGACAACACATGTAACTGACTAGACCAACATCAGACAACACATGTAACTGACTAGACCTATATCAGACAACACATGTAACGGACTAGACCTACATCAGACAACACATATAACTGACCAAACTTTCATCTGACAACACATATAACTGACTACACCTACATCAGACAACACATATAACTGACCAAACTTTCATCTGACAACACATATAACTGGCTAGACCTACATCAGACAACACATATAACTGACCAAACTTTCATCTGACAACACATATAACTGGCTAGACCTACATCAGACAACACATATAACTGACCATCAGACAACACATGTAACGGACCAGACCAACATCAGACAACACATGTAACTGACTAGACCTATATCAGACAACACATGTAACGGACTAGACCTACATCAGACAACACATATAACTGACCAAACTTTCATCTGACAACACATATAACTGACTACACCTACATCAGACAACACATATAACTGACCAAACTTTCATCTGACAACACATATAACTGACTACACCTACATCAGACAACACATATAACTGACCAAACTTTCATCTGATAACACATATAACTGACTAGACCTACATCAGACAACGCATGTAACTGACCAAACCTACATCAGACAACACATGTAACTGACTAGATCTACATCAGACAACACATGTAACTGACCAGACCTCCATCAGACAACACATGTAACTGACTAGACCTACATCACACAACACATGTAACTGACCAGACCTACATCAGACAACACATGTAGCTGACTAGACCTACATCAGACAACACATGTAACTGACCAGCCCAACATCAGACAACACATGTAACTGACTAGACCTATATCAGACAACACATGTAACGGACTAGACCTACATCAGACAACACATATAACTGACCATCAGACAACACATGTAACGGACCAGACCAACATCAGACAACACATGTAACTGACTAGACCTATATCAGACAACACATGTAACGGACTAGACCTACATCAGACAACACATATAACTGACCAAACTTTCATCTGACAACACATATAACTGACTACACCTACATCAGACAACACATATAACTGACCAAACTTTCATCTGACAACACATATAACTGACTACACCTACATCAGACAACACATATAACTGACCAAACTTTCATCTGACAACACATATAACTGGCTAGACCTACATCAGACAACACATATAACTGACCATCAGACAACACATGTAACTGACCAGACCAACATCAGACACCACATGTAACTGACTAGACCTCATCAGACAACACATATAACTGACTAGACCTACATCAGACAACGCATGTAACTGACCAAACCTACATCAGACAACACATGTAACTAACCAAACCTTCATCAGACAACACATATAACTGACTAGACCTACATCAGACAACACATGTAACTGACTAAACCTACATCAGACAACACATGTAACTGACTAAACCTACATCAGACAACACATGTAACTAACCAAACCTTCATCAGACAACACATGTAACTGAACAAACCTTCATCAGACAACACATGTAACTGACTAGACCTCCATCAGACAACACATGTAACTGACCAAACCTTCATCAGACAACACATGTAACTGACTAGACCTCCATCAGACAACACATTTAACTGACCAAACCTTCATCATACAACACATTTAACTGACCAAACCTTCATCAGACAACACATATTACTGACCAAACCTTCATCAGACAACACATGTAACTGAACAAACCTTCATCAGACAACACATGTAACTGACTAGACCAACATCAGACAACACATGTAACTGACTAGACCTCCATCAGACAACACATGTAACTGACCAAACCTACATCAGACAACACATGTAACTGACTAAACCTACATCAGACAACGCATGTAACTGACCAAACCTACGTCAGACAACACATGTAACTAACCAAACCTTCATCAGACAACACATGTAACTGACCAGACCTACATCAGACAACACATGTAACTGACTAGACCTACATCAGACAACACATTTAACTGACCAAACCTTCATCATACAACACATGTAAGACAACACATGTAACTGACCAGACCTACATAACTGACTAGACCTACATCAGACAACACATGTAACTGACTAGACCTACATCAGACAACACATATATCTGACTAGACCTACATCAGACAACACATGTAACTGACCAGATCTACATCAGACAACACATGTAACTGACTAGACCTACATCAGACAACACATATAACTGACCAAACCTTCATCAGACAACACATATAACTGACTAGACCTACATACCTTGTATGACCTCCACTTGCTGTACACGGTCCATGCTGGACAGAGCCTGTAGTCCCTTGTCATACTGAGAGGAAGGGGTTTGTTTATCCTGTCCCCTCTTCTCATACGCCATCACAGTGTCGGACTCGTCCACAACAAAGGTTATCCCTCTGTCTTTGTACATTTCCTGTCATTAAGAAGATTGAATATACAGACATCATCAATCACCAGAAAATATCTTTATAGACAGTGTTAATCAAAGGAAGTGTAGAAATGATGTCATGTTATTTTTTCGTTCAATTTATTTTTTGGTAACATGTCCTAACTTGTTCCAGGTTTTTTTGTAGCAACTTTAGATTTTGAAAAAACTCTACCAAAAAAATACCTAAAAAATACACCATTATTGATACAAAGGTCTATAAACATGTCAGCTGTTTCATTAGGTTTCATTACCATGCAGTTTGGACACACACAAAGCTTGCTTCTCCAGCCAGCCTTCCAAAATGTGGCACAATCGCGGTCTAATACATCCCTGTTCAGTAGCTGCTTCAGAAGACAAGAATTGGCAGCCTCTTGCTGAGTGGAATCCTCAGACTTTTCCACTTTGGGTTTCTTTGCCGCAGGTTCTGTATCACAGTTATTGGTCTAAAACAAGGACAAGCACACACCTCGTAGTCACCTTGTAACATAGGTTTCACACATGTCTAGTCGTGATCTAACAGTGATTTTTGCTGTGTATCAGCTGTCATAAGATGCTCTGGGGTATCTGATATCATTAGATATTGCTGGTAATTAAACGTCACTAGATATCGTATAGCAGATATTCTAGCGTCAAATCTTACACTCACCTTTGCATCCCCCTTACATGTTGGTAGCGATGTCTCTTGGCTCTTCTCATCCCCTCCCTCGGGACCATTACTGCTTTTCCGTTTTCCTCCCACATCAACAACAGCTGTACTCTCCTCAGACTTAATTGTCTTTGTGTCTGTAAAAGATAAAGGAATACAACAATACACAAGACCAGGTCATGAGAGCTAAGTTTGTTGTGCTTATTTGAAAGATAACTTCCATCTGGGTACCAAGTCAATACTGTTTTTATTGATACAGTGACTTGATCATTACAGACGGTGTCTGTATGATAAGTGGGAGGTCTCACATGGACCATTGAGTGAGCAATTCACATACTCATCACACAAGGAATGACTCAGGCAAGTAATGTTAACACTTTTTGTCCATTTTTCCTACAGTAAATAGACAAATAAATACAATATATAAATATGACATTCATTAGCAGGTGACAGTGAATATTGTCAACCCGAGAAAAACCATTGTCACCCAAGGCGAAGGCGAGGGTGACAATGGGTCTTTGAGTACTGCTAAAAACCATGTGCTATCAGGTGTAGCACCTGATAAAGCACCTTATCTACTTATAAGTCACTCTAAGGCACTTTACGGTACACAGATATACATTTCATACGATCAATATAATATCTGAGGAGTCTTCCCCAGCACTTACTACTAACCCTAAACCGACTAGCTAAGGTCTCCGCATATATATGGGTTGGAGATGTAGTTTGTTTTACCTTGAAATTGGACTATGATACCGCAATGGGCAGGAGGAAAACACTTTCTCTGAATATTTCTTGCAACAACTTTGGAGATTGATCTCTGGCTGTTTGCATGGAAATAGCAGAAGAGACAACCGCTCAGCCTAATCTGCACATTGATGTAGATGTCCTTTCCAATATATAAATTACTACCCCGAATGCCTTCAAATAACTTCAATATAAAATTCTGATCCATAATTGAGATGAGGTCATTTAAAGGGGCTGGTCGGGGAAAAAATGTCATATTTGCTAAAATGGCATACACATGTTTAAAATACCTTCATATGAAATATACCGATTCAAATTTTGCTGCAATTCACTCCCTAAAGGTAAAAAATCATAATTATATTAAAGAAATCCTAAATCGTCACCTGACAGTCTAAAACTCTCAATTGACCCAGATCAGTGATGTAATTTTACCGCACGCGCGTCATCAACAAGGCCAAATATAAACATTGCGGTGAAAGATAAAGATGCATGCAAAAGTCATGACAGGCACGAGGTATCAATACCGTTATATATAACAACATATAGGTAGGAATACTACACTTGCATCATACATGACCTTTGAAAACAATTATTTACGTATAGTATTGCTGTCTTGTCCGCTAGTTGAGTCTGAGATGGCACATGACGGCGTGCTTTTGTTGTTATCTTCACTGCCTCACTTTCGAAACAACCACGTGACATATATAAATAGATCTGCGCTAAATTTACGCGGGACTTCCCCAAGATTTCAGTGGTCAAAACTGGACATTGCAAGCAGAACTCGACCATCATATTGCTGTGGTATAACTTTTGGAAGGCCAGAGAACGCATTTAGACCCATTTATTTTGTAATTTTTTCCCCGACCAGCCCCTTTAAAGGTTTGCACACATTTGACTATGTAACCTTAAAAGTGTGTAAAGGTCATTCACATAAAAAACTTGATCGTTCTTCATCTGAGCATGCTGATGGCCAACTATCACCACCCTATGCGTTTGGTTATTCAGAAAAAGTTGTTTAAATGTTTTCAACACATTTAACCCCTATGAATTTGAATATGGGTGAAAGTCATTCATTTGTAAAAACCCTGTAGCTCTTATCTAAGTACATAACTGGCCATATATCATCATCCTAGGCCTCTTGGTTATACAGAAGTTTTTAAATCAAGAAACAGATGCAGGTGGGACGGACAGACAGCAATGCCGCACCACAGCATAAGCTCAAGGTAAGCTAAAAACAAAATAAATCTGTAGACGGCAATGATTCACTCGGACCTAGTGCAGATGACTGAATTTTGTTGCTGTTTGAAATAGCCGAAGCTGTCTTCTCGACAGAAAAAATAAACACATGTAGGGAAGACTAAAGAGAAATGTACCTTGACTGTAGAGGTTGTAGGCCCAAAGGAAATCAAACTTCTGCATACACCCTGTGCACACCATTTCCTCATAGTCTATTGGTAGATCTTTGCTTCCAAGATGCTGTAAGGTAAAGCATTTTCAAATGGTTGCTGATGCCTACACAAGTAGTTATAAACATTTCTAGTCTGAATGGTCTAAAAAATATCTGTTGTGAAATGCCAAATTCAATAGTAGACAACATGTCTTGAAAGACCTACATTAATATGGGAAAATAAGGCATGTCAAACATAGACCAAATTTCATTAGATATCTGACTGGTCTATACTTACCCTTCCATGATACCAGTCCTCACACATAACACACTGTATCATCTCATCTTCAATCTGAAAACAACACATTCAGATGAGTCAAATTATTTATCAACTATAATTTTGGCTACATTAGAAAAATGGCTTCAGGAAATATTCAAAATGTTTTTTCCCTACCTGTGCAAGATAAATATGTGTGGCTCAACCTAAACCAAGGGCTATAACTCTTTGAAAATCCATGGAAAATATATGGTGGTCACACATACAAAGTTTAAGTGACCGATAGGATGTGGCACTGTGTGTTAAGTTTCAGATCGTCATTTCAGTATGTTAGGGGTAGTCCACAAAGGGTTGTATCTTCAGACAGAAGGACAGGCAACTTGATTTCAGTGCAGACAAAAGGACAGACAAACCAATCTTAGTAGCCCTCTCCTCCCCACAATAATTGACATCAGAACAGACTTAGGATACAGAAATGTAGTATCAATGGTAACAGCATTAGTAATACACTCAAATACAGTTAATATAGCCAATAGGAGTGTATGGATCACAAGGGGAACTAAAACAGTCAACATTCTAAGATCACAAATGAGTTTTTCAGCATACAATTTTAAAACAGCTGCAACTCAAAACTTCTTTTCAAAGAACGCTTTGATTAGATTTGAAACTTTCGGTCTGACTTTAGGACAAGAGTAAAACAAAATATAGTCATACCATAACCATATAGAGATGATGTGAATTTGTTTTACCGTTATCGTCAGTACTTATACATACAAGACACACTGTCTAACATGTAATAGACAAAATGATGTGAACATATTTTTAAAACACATTCAGTTCTTAAACATGTTATACTTTCGGAGATCATGAGATCAACAAATATGTGATGTCATTAAGTCATATTTGTTTTTCATAAAAAATAAGAGATTTTTTAATGGTTGTGTTATCTGTATACAACAGTAAACATAATAGTTTCCTCTTACTTTGATTTGCCCTGTAGTGTTTCTGGCCCCTAAGAATATATACAGCAGTGTTGATACTGCTGTGCTGTCCCCAATTCTCTATAAAGAGGCTAAACTACATACCTCATCTTCAGGGTCTGGGTAGGGCCGCACACACACACAATAAAGTCCCTTGAAATTCTGGTTGTAAATGTTCTGTGCATTAAATGGATCCTTGGTCTGAAATTTTAAATTGGTAAGAATAAGTAGCTAGCACTTTATTTTCCATCTTAATTTGAATAAAATATATGCACATCTCAAAAGTCTGAATTTCATATTCATCATCAGCTGCTTCTGATAAGTTTTATTAATAAAGAAAATAAAACTGAAATATTATCACTATTGTGACATTATTGATAATGACATTGTTCTTATCCCTCAATTTTGCTATTGTTATGGCACTTTTAGGAAAAATTCAATTGTGGTGAGATATGCTTGTAAATGCTTTATATATTCAGACATATTTTCTGAAAGCAATGAACACTTTGATTTCTGATATCAACACCGGTACCGCTGCCATACTAAGCCACAAGTACATTGTTTTAACCTACTTGTGTACATATGCCATGTCTTGTTAGGAGGACTAACTTACAGAAATCACATTAACATGACCTTAAGTACATTTGCCTCGAAGTTTGAGGAAGTCTACTTTATGTTTGAACTCACTTTGGAATGGTACCACACAAGTTTTAGTGTGGACTTTGAAACTGTGATAATAATCTTTAGAATTATTCAGCATAAATACATGATTTAAAGACTCCAGAAACAGCCTAGTATGTACAACTTACTGGATATAGCTTGCATTTGTTGTCTGGAAACTTGTCATTACCGCAATCACATCGAAAATTCCTGAAATAACACAAAAATATTTACATATGCCCTTCTTATTTTCCATTACCTCTATGGAAAGTCAGCCTGTAGTTACTGGACAGTAACTGCAGTCTGCATTATCTGGTCACATGACCAAAGTTTCTGTGACATCAGTGTTAGCAACCACTCCCATCGTAACAGCGAAGTCATCAATTTGTATGATAGCCGCCATCTTGTTGTCGTTTGGTTCATACAAGTCGCATTTTGACGGGTTTTGCAGACTATGAAGACATCCAGAACAGGGAGGCAAGTTCTTCCTTTTGTATTAGAATGTTCTGCACATATAATTAGAGCATTTATCTGCATTTAACCGTTGTCGCCTGGTTACATTTTTTTAAGGGCAACTGTTGTCTGGAAAGTTTTCGGTCCGATAATGGCAGTCTGCGGCTGTTTCAAGAATTGGACCAGTGAGGTTTTGCAGCAGCAAGAAATATTAATCAAGCTCATACGACTAATTAATAAAAGACAGGTTGTGTGAGGAAATGTAAATATAACGATTGAACGTCTGTCAGATTGTAGTTACAGCCAATATGAATGCAATTTGACAGATGTTCAATCCTTAATTAACAAGTGTGATATGGTCTATGTTATATCACAAAATGTTGGTATTAGTGTGATAAACTTGGGTGGATTACCATTGTTATATCTCAAAGAAATCATCCAATACAATAAAGCTCTCAATATCAGTTCTAGGTACACATGGCAAACCATTGGAATATTCCTGCAGTTTGAGCTTTTGAGTTTCACAGGGAAAGGAAAATTGGCAATATTTTTTCTGTTTTTGTACTCTGAACTACTCCTGTGATAAAAAAAATAATATTATAACTTAACATGCTGAGTTTGATCTATTTTAAGTATCTTTAATTTCCAATACTATCAAACATTTTACCTTTTGGTATAGAGTTCACAGAGGTCGTGACCTTCATGACACTCATAGCTGCAGGCCAGACACACTCCAGCTTGTCCATTACATGTTAGGCAGGAATAAAGGGCCTGTCTAGGAATATAACTCTGCAATATAAAATACAATACATCAGAATGTGAATACTGGTAAGAGCTTAGAATTCCCTACACATACCAGTATTCAATGTCTACTTGTAGAGTCAGGATTACAATGTGTAACACCTGGAAGGAACCGAGACAATCAATTTCTCATGTTCAGATTGTACTGGTAGTAACTAGCTATGGGACAATGAAATTTAATATGTTTTTACTCTATTGTGTAACCAGCTGGACACTAACTTCTCTGCAAATAACCAACCTTTAACAGTATACAATTGTTTCATTGGTACTGGGGGAACAGTCAAATCATTGACCCGAGGTAGCAGGGAAGACCTAGGGAACTGGTGCCCAAGGCCGAATTCTACGTAAAATCTACACAAAAACTCGTTCAGTTCTTCATTACTGCAGGTTTCGTCGATCATAACACATTTGTCTGCACACTATTTATTCAAAATATTCACAGCTCCCTAAATGACGTTTTTTGTACTAAGAGAGTCACTATTTTCCATAAGCAATTCAAAATCTTGCTCAGAAACATCCTTAAATCTGCCGTTATTCACCATTTTCACCAGACGACAACAAACAAATCTGTATCCAAAAGATGCTGGAGTGGGGCCGCCGACGGGGAAATTGTCTGCGCACGATTGTCGCGCATGCAACAGTCAACTGTTGCACCCTGACATTATTTTAAGGGTCTTCAGTCTTTTCCAGGGATTTTTTTTTTATTAAAACAGTCAAAAATACTTCATATACATTTAAATAGAGAGTCAAGTAATAAAATAAATTGTTCTATTAAGTATGATAAATTGTACTACACTGTATATATGTAGCAGATTTTAATTGTACCACAGACTTAGATTCTAATTCTGTGATTGTACACAGGACTATAGTCACCTTCTAGCTTTGCGCTAGAGGGCTTTCCCTTAAGCTCAGTGGTAGAGCGGCGGACTGGGAAGCCAGTATTGTTACTGTACATATATATATGGACACTCAGACAGATAGAATTAGCTATAATAGTGCATACATTCGGCTATAGCACATTTTATAATGCTAAGATTATGCTTTCCTTTATTCAAATGTTTAATTTTTCCTTTCCTTAAAACTCAAATTAAAATATGAAAAAGGTAACTAGGTTTGTGCTGTTTTGAAAGTTGACAGCATTTTAGCAAAGAAATAATTGGAATTGGGATGATCCCTTATCACATGGACTGTGTTAACGTTTCACCAAGGCTCACCAATATGGCCGCCAAGTTTGATTCCCCAATTAGACCAAAGGGGGTTCCTTACAAATGTCTAGTAAACATGAAATGCTATTCTGCTATGGGTCACAACACACCTAATAATACACTGTATGTGAAGGTGTGCTGTGACCCATATATTTGTGTGGCAATTGTGTACTAGACATCTGTAACAGCCCCTGTAATTAGAAATGAAAACATATTGGGTCACCTGCCCAAACATGTCAGTTAGCTCCAAGTACTCAGGTTTACTCTCACATTAAGACCCCTCTGCAGTTCCATCAAGGCCAATACGTGTGATTTATATAAGTTGAAAAAAAACATGTTTCATAACAATTGAAAAAAAAATCATATATTAATATTTGTTTCTCAGTCTGAATTTGTAGAGGCGGCAAATCGTTTTTACAGAAACAGAGGACACTAGTTTTATCTAACCAATAGGGCTTATAACAACGACATAAAATGAAACGAATAAGAATAATAAGCAAAGAATTATGCAATTACATAAATGCACAATCGACCATTGTGTGTAATTACGTCTTTATTTTTATCGTTGCTAGCCCTTGCAGGGGTCGTGATCTACACTACAGCTGATCTATGCTGGACCGCCCACATTAGATGCATTGTTTTCATCATATACACCTGCTACGTTGAAAAATGACACTAATTTATCTATTTTAAAACACAGAATTGGTGATTCAGATGAAGGACAAACTGATGGTCACTATGGACTCCAAGAAATGAAAATGTGTTTACAAAACCATTGGAAATTCTGCTGATTCATGAGATAGCTGTGGTGATGTTGCATACCGCTGGATATGTACAGTTGTGGATGTCACTATCTCCTAGGACGGCGGTGGCGTCTGCTTCAAGTTTCTCCTCTTCCCTTAGCACATCCACCATCGACACGCAGCTGGCTTCGGAGTCATTACTCGTAGATGGCGCCAAACTTTCAGAAGCCATGTTTACGTTCGTGCCGGAAGTGAGCTTGGGCCGATTTCCGTTGCGAGGTTGGACCTACTGCTTATTATCGACTAGAGTGGTATTAAATACAAAACTATTACAGAGAGGAATTATTGACGACTTTTGATAAAAATATGAACATACATATCATACATTTTATCTTATCTAAGTTATACTGTTCCGCTTACTATTATGATACCACATATTGTTACTACACAGTTCATTCATTTGATCCGGATATTCTGCTCGCTTAGTTTCGTCGTTTAGTTGGAACCACAAACATGCAGAACAACCGGTTTGACCGTTTATAAATGTAACAATTTCGGGTTTAAACTCTGGCAGACCTGCAAATGTGTATGCAGGCCTTGCAAGGCTTTGTCAAGGCTCGCCTGAAAGCAGCATTAAATTACTAGGTCCGGCCTTATTTAATAAACGAACAACAGTGGTCCGACCGGTTTGACCGTTAAAACGAAAAACGGCCCGGCCTATTCATGAAAGAGAAGAACATTCACTTCTTTAAATTTCAAATTTAAGTATGCTGGGGATCGACTTTTTATTACTTAATTGGAACATTATTTACGGGTATGTCTCTGATTGAAACAGCAAACATGTTTTCAGTTGGTTCCGTCAATATTGCACAATACATGGCAATTTGGAAAATAAAATCGATCAACCGACACACCGTACAAAGTGACATCTAAATTTACATTCACTGCGAGTTCCCAAGGAAGCATTACCAGAAGAACTTGTGTTCATGGAGCTGTGAACGCAATTTGATCAGCGTCATTTCGAACCTTCTTCTCCCTCCTCCAATAACACGAGACAACTGTTAGAAGCAAACATTTTAGTGACGTACGGCTGTTCCATGAAACTCGTTTGCACTGACGACACCGACATTTCAATATCTTAAATATCAGGGACTTTCTGTATTTAGTTCAATGATAAATACAAATTTAGAATGTTAACATAATCATGCAGAGACGTATAATTCTGTAGTGTATACGTCTCTGATGTAAAGATTGTAGTGCACTTTTTAAAATGTTCTTGACGGTTTCGATTTGCGTTGACACCAGCATGAAAATGGGGGGCGGGGGGGGGGTCAATCTTATTTGATACTGCGTAATTTCATACTCAAATAGATCGAAAATGAGTACAGAATTAAACAAATATAAGATATTTATTTATAGTTTCCATCGCCCCTGTGTAGTTTCAAGTAGTCCGAAATAATTAAAAGCCGCTATACATGTATCTCTTTTGTAATGGGTTTTGTATGTGGCGGAGATAGACAGAACGGGTCCAAAAGGGTATGTTTGAGAGAGAAAAAAACGTAACGATTGCCAACATGTTGGCAGTGTCAGAGATTGAAGAAATACATTTTCCACTCGCGTATGAAAAGTAGGTAGACATGCTCCAGTATACAAGAAAACATGTATTGATATACACACCAAATCAAGTGCGCAAAACTTTCAAAGAACCCTTATGTAGGACGTTGTGACTATCTCCGCCCCATCATCTAAGGAGATTGTCAATTACTTCAGACTGAGTGTCATGTACTAGATTACTCGTATTTACCTTTTTTTACTTTAATTTAATCGCGTATATATACAACAAAAGCATATGTGATTTTTTTTTGATTTTTTTAATCATTTATTTTATTAATTGTAAATGTCATTACTGTTACCGTAATAAGAGTGTTAAAGTATATCATTTGTATATTAGATATCAATTTATTAAAAGTATTTTTGTTCATTTCGGAAATAGAGCAAAGTTTGAACATTTTGTTTGGATTCTACAAAAATTACGGCATTAAATAGTAATTAGCGTAATGTTAACATCGTTATACCATTAACACGGCATTTATTTCATCTTTTACTTTCATATAAATGTAACATTTCTAAGTAATGTTATGTTCCCGTTTATTATTTGCTGTGGTAAACATCTGCCTAGATCATTAGTGAAGTATAATAGGTAAAATCTGTTAATTGTTTTTTCAAATATATCACACAACCTTGGACATATATTTCCAGAATAAATTGCATCCTTAATATCAAATACAATTTGAGTATCGTGTACATTTTGGCCATACCCTTTACGTCTGTAAATAAACCAGAAAATATGTTCCATCAGCTCCAACCATCTAAATTAAAGTGTTCCATGAATCTAATTTACAGAGCAAACTGAATCCGGACATCTATTATGGCGGAGGTACAATTAATTGCGATTCTTTATCCCTTAATACCAACGCTCCTACCAATAACTCGTCCTAACAAAATAACCTATTGGATTAGCTATATTTAACATGAATGTCTGCCTAAATTGTCACGTTTTTCAGATCCATACAACTAAGAGATTGGGCGGCCCAGTAACTTGTTACCCAGTCCGACTGAGGCCAGGGGAGGAAATCAAAAGTGAGCTGCTGAAACTGGTACAAGAACATGGTCTACAGGGGGCGTTTGTAATGTCGTGTGTGGGAAGCGTGACAAAGGCAAAACTGAGGATGTCAGATAGCACCACAGTGAGTAGCAGGGGTATCCATCATCTGGTGTTTGTCATAGGGAACGTATCACATGCTACATCAATCGGGAACCGTCGGTACTTTCCGTAGTGCCTAAATATATAGAGCATGTGACATGACCCTGTCGACCAGGTAACATAGACAGTTCTGCAGGTCACACATGATGTCATGGTTAAATGTTAAATGATATTTAAGTCATGGTCGGGTCCCACACTTACGTGAGGCTGTCATGGTCACGTGTTATATGATCGGGTCCCGAACATGACGTTATGATAAACATTGACATGATTTGGTCCCACACGTACGCGGGAATGTCAAGGTCACTGCTATGTAATCGGATTCCATGTTTGACAGACGCATATTACATTGTAATTGTCTTGTGACATATTTAACCCGCAAACGATGGCTCACAGTCATGACAAGGTATTTGTCAAAGTCGTGTCATATGGAGTTAAACGAAGCGTTTGTCATATAGTTATGTCATATGTCTTAAACGTGTCATATTATAGAAGTATGGATGCCGTTTGCCAGACGTACAGGGAGGCCTTTGTCACCGTTTGACATAATCAGGACATACGGGAGATGTTTGTTAGAGTTGTATTAGTTTGGTACAAGAGTTGTTTCCCCTGGTCCCTGTTGTGCGATGGTACGTGTACAAGTTTCGCCGTGTGGTCACAGGTGATTTAGAATTTCTAACAATATTGGAGAGTATTAATGAAAAATTGAATTTGTATTGTGTGATTATAAGGACAAGTCTTGGCATATCATGTCGCTTCTCTCTTGAAATTACACGCTTCTGTTTTCTAAGATGTAGGGACTCCCTTTGAAAAGAGACATCAGACTGATATTACCAAATTGGTTTGACTAAGTAATATTTCCTTTTCATCAAATCCTTGTGAAAGCCCAATGACCCTTTTCCAAAGCTTTCAGGGTAGAGATGGTCGTGACGGTGTTGACGGTGTCTTAACTGCTTTGAGGACCATCCAGGAGCATTCATTATGCAGCTTAATAGCCTTTTAGTTGATAGCAAATAAAATTGTATATACATTAAGTGATATTTAAGTGTATTTCACTGCTACCCACTATATGAGCATTACTAGAAAAGGCTTTGAAAACTTTCGTAACGTAACACGTTGTTTCCGTGTGACGTCATATGTTGATCTTGGTCGATGAGAGTAGTGTAGTTTCGCTTCGGATAACGTGGATACCGCCCCAACCTAAAGTATCTAATTAGCATTCAACTGTTTGATCAGAGTTACGGTCCTACAGTTCTGAACATGGTTCCAGACCATTTGATGGCATTCGTTAGCGACTTATAATTCCTGGTCAGAATCACAGGACTTATGATCCTAATCGAATGCAGTCTTACACATTTTCATTGATTTTGACAATAGATTTATTTTTAAGTTCGATACTTGTTGTCCTATTTTGAAAAAGATTTTTATTAAATGCAACTGGTGCCACTCACACACTCAGCAGTGTCACGTGTGTCTCACACATATATCAGTGTCACGTGTGTCTCACAATGCGACTGGTGTTTCACACACATAGCAGTGTCACTTGTGTCTCACAATGTCACCTGTGTCTTACACACATAGCAGTGTCACTTGTGCCTCACACACATAGCAGTGTCACTTGTGTCTTACACACATAGCAGTGTCACTTGTGTCTTACATACATAGCAGTGTCACTTGTGTCTCACACACATAGTAGTGTCACTTGTGTCTTACACACATAGCAGTGTCACTTTTGTCTCACACACATAGCAGTGTCACTTGTGTCTAACACACATAGCAGTGTCACTTGTGTCTCACACACATAGCAGTGTCAACTTGTGTCTCACACACATAGCAGTGTCACGTGTGTCTCACACACATAGCAGTGTCACTTGTGTCTCACACACATAGCAGTGTCACTTGTGTCTCACACACATATCAGTGTCACTTTTGTCTCACACACACAGCAGTGTCCAGTGTCACTTGTGTCTAACACACACACTTGTGTGTCACACACACAGCAGTGTCACTTGTGTCTCACACACACAGCAGTGTCACTTGTGTCTTACACACATAGCAACGTCACTTACATCTCACACACACAGCAGTGTCACTGGTGCCTCTCACACACAGCAACGTCACTTGTGTGTGACACACATGTGACACTGCTGTGTGTCACACACACAGCAGAGTCACTTGTGTCTCACACGCACAGCAGTGTCACTTGTGGCTCACAAACACAGCAGTGTCACTTGTGGCTTACACACATAGGAGTGTCACTTGTGCCTCTCACACACAGCCACGTCACTTGTGTCTCACACATAGCAACGTCACTTACATCCCACACACACAGCAGTGTCGCATGTGTGTCACACACAGCAGCGTCACTTGTGTGTCACAAACATAGCAGTGTCACTTGTGTCTCACACGCACAGCAGTGTCACTTTTGTCTCACACGCACAGCAGTGTCACATGTGTGTCACACACAGCAACGTCACTTGTGTGTCACACACACAGCAGTGTCACTTGTGTCTCACAAACACAGCAGTGTCACTTGTCTCACAATGTCACTTGTGTGTCAAACACATAGCAGTGTCACTTGTGTCTTACACACATAGCAGTGTCACTTGTGTCTTACACACATAGCAGTGTCACTTGTGTCTCAAACACATAGCAGTGTCACTTGTGTCTCACAATGCCACTGGTGCCATTCACACACAGCAACGTCACTTGTGTCTCACACACATAGCAGTGTCACTTGTGTCTCAAACACATAGCAGTGTCTCTTGTGTCTCACAATGTCACTTGTGTGTCACACACATAGCAGTGTCACTTGTGTCTTAGACACATAGCAGTGTCACACACATAGCAACGTCACTTGTGTGTCACACACACAGCAGTGTCACTTGTGTCTTAGACACATAGCAGTGTCACTTGTGTCTCACAATGCCACTGGTGCCTCTCACACACACAGCAGTGTCACTTGTGTCTCACACACATAGCAGTGTCACTTGTGTCTCACACACATAGCAGTGTCACTTGTGTCTCACACGCACAGCAGTGTCACTTGTGTCTCACACACATATCAATGTCACTTGTGTCTCACACACATATCAGTGTCACTTGTGTCTCACACGCACAGCAGTGTCACTTGTGTCTCACACACATCGCAGTGTCACTTGTGTCTCACACGCACAGCAGTGTCACATGTGTCTCACACACATATCAATGTCACTTGTGTCTCACAATGCCACTGGTGCCTCTCACACACATATCAGTGTCACTTGTGTCTCACACACATATCATATCAATGTCACTTGTGTCTCACACACATAGCAGTGTCACTTGTGTCTTACACACATAGCAGTGTCACTTGTGTCTCACACACATAGCAACGTCACTTGTGTCTCACACACACATATCAGTGTCACTTGTGTCTCACACACATATCAGTGTCACTTGTGTCTTACACACATATCAATGTCACTTGTGTCTTACACACATATCAGTGTCACTTTTGTCTTACACACATAGCAGTGTCACTTGTGTCTTACACACATAGCAGTGTCACTTGTGTCTCACAATGACACTTGTGTCTTACGCACACAGCAGTGTCACTTGTGTCTCACAATGACACTTGTGTCTTACGCACACAGCAGTGTCACTTGTGTCTTTAACACATATCAGTGTCACTTGTGTCTTACACACAGTGTCACTTGTGTCTTACACACACAGCAGTGTCACTTGTGTCTTTCACACATAGCAGTGTCACTTGTGTCTTACATACATAGCAGTGTCACTTGTGTCTTACACACACAGCAGTGTCACTTGTGTCTTTCACACATAGCAGTGTCACTTGTGTCTTACATACATAGCAGTGTCACTTGTGTCTTACACACATAGCAGAGTCACTTGTGTCTCACACACATAGCAGTGTCACTTGAGTCTTACACACATAGCAGTGTCACTTGTGTCTCACACACATAGCAGTGACACTTGTGTTTCACACACACAGCAGTGTCACTTGTGTCTCACAATGCCACTGGTGCCTCTCACACACACAGCAGTGTCACTTGTGTCTTACACACATATCAATGTCACTTGTGTCTCACACAGACAGCAGTGTTACTTGTGTGTCACACACACAGCAGTGTTACTTGTGTCTTACACACATAGCAACGTCACTTGTGTCTCACACACATAGCAGTGTCACTGATGCCTCTAACACACAGCAACGTCACTTGTGTCTCACACACATAGCAGTGTCACTTGTGTCTTACACACATATCAGTGTCACTTGTGTCTCACACACACAGCAGTGTCACCTGTGTGTCACACACAGCAACGTCACTTGTGTGTCACACACACAGCAGTGTCACTTGTGTCTTACACACATATCAATGTCACTTGTGTCTCACACAGACAGCAGTGTTACTTGTGTGTCACACACACAGCAGTGTTACTTGTGTCTTACACACATAACAACGTCACTTGTGTCTCACACACATAGCAGGGTCACTTGTGTCTCACAATGTCACTGGTGCCTCTCACACACACAGCAGTGTCTCTTGTGTCTTACACACATATCAGTGTCACTTGTGTCTCACAATGTAACTTGTGTGTCACACACATAGCTGTGTTACCTGTGTCTCACACACATATCAGTGTCACTTGTGTCTCACACACATAGCAACGTCACTTGTGTCTCACACGCACAGCAGTGTGACTTGTGTCTCACACACATAGCAGTGTCTCACATATCAGTGACACTTGTGTCTTACACACATAGCAGTGTCACTTGTGTCTAACGGTGACTCTCACACACAGCAACGTCACTTGTGTCTCACACACATAGCAGTGTCACTTGTGTCTTACACACTTGTGTCTTACACACATAGCAGTGTCACTTGTGTCTTACAATGCCACTGGTGTTTCACACATATACAATATCTCTGATGTCTCACAAACAATATAACTAGTGTCTCACACACAATGTCATTGTGTCTCACAGAGACACATACAATCAGTGGCGTCTCGCATACACGATGTTACTGGCGTTTCACAAAAAATGTGCCTCGCATCCGCATGTCGTATGGTAATAGCCACCTAATATATGTTCCACTACTTTTCAGGTGAAGAAGTTTGAGGGTCACTTTGAGATCGTGTCGCTGGTAGGTACACTGTCTGCAGGAGGCCACCTCCACATCAGCCTCAGTGACGTCGACGGGCGTGTATTCGGTGGTCACGTGATCGGTGATCTGGTCGTGTTCACTACGGCGGAAGTTGTCATTGGTAACGCAGGGGGCGTGGTTTTTACCAGGGAACCGGACACTCAAACAGGATACAACGAACTTGTCACCAATTCAAACCACGCATGATAAACATACAGCTTCTTTTCTACAAACTGAACTACAAACTGATAAACATACAGCTTCTTTACTACAAACTTAGCATTTCTTGCCAAGAGAATAATTAAAGTGCCTATTCACCTGTATAATACAATCAAATGACGTTCGTATAGTCAACGTAAGCATGATTAAACATCGTAAAAACAAGAAGTACCTATTGCCTCACTGTTTGAGAATATCCTTTAATCTATCACAAGAGTGTTGCTTAAAACTTGCAACAACCGGTTTATCCGTTGTCAGTATAATGTGACCGTTTTGAATATTTTGCCGGGTGCTTTCGGCATGGTATGTCAGTGAGGTAGCGCTCTAAAGTCGGCATTATAAACCAACATACCCTGTCCCCGGCACATATGCACACGTGCACGCATGCATAACACTCCTGACGGCACGTCCTTAAATGGCATCAGCTGTTAATATGACGTTAAACTCTATACAACCAACTCGACCAACCATCCAATCAACGTATCCCGGATTACCATCAGAGTCTGGACATTTCCCTTCGACAGGTCTCGTGTCATTGAGACTGCTACGGACGTAACCACGAGTACACACTATTATTGGGTAGCATTTTTGTTTGACCAAAAGTTGATATAAACCCCTTCAACATGTAATATTACTCCGAACACCTCATTGTAGGTCCAAATATAGCTATAACAAATTATCAGATTCCTGTGGACTAGATAAGGTTCGTCGGTGGTGACTGGTTAGCTCAGTATGTTTAGAGCGTCCGTCTGGTGGTGTAAGGTCTCGGGTTAGAATCTGGTCTCACCGTTACATTTTCTGCTCCTGATACATCTATATATGATAATTTATCAACATCAACAGGTTTACACGTTTTCATTTTTTTTGCTTGTAACAAGCATAAAGCTAAAGCTCGGTACAAGTGTCGTAATTTTTTTATGGAAAAGAAAAGAATTAAAGATATTTGCAAAAGGTTATGCAAATACAGCATTACAAGAAATTCACTTTTTGAAGGTAAACGCACTGAACCACTTTATTGCGCTAGAGGTTTTACACAAGTGCCTGAGGATTCATTACAATATCTATGTTTGGCCTTCTCCCGGTGTACCGTCTAATATTAGACGTGATAAAGGTTCATATTTCTGGTGGGTGTACAAAACAAGAGGCCCATGGGCCTTAACGCTCACATGAGTCATACAGTATTTATTTTTGTTGTTGAAATATGTACCAATTTGAATGAAAAATTGTTAAGTATAACGTTAACTTAAGTAAGTTTGTCAGGACCATGAGCTGATCATTCCTAGACCGATTTTCAGTTAGATCGGCCTATTAGAACTTGTTTTTAAGTTTGAAACAGGTATTTTCAAAATAGCGGCCATGGCAGCCAAATTGTATTTCTGATCGACCCGAAAAATAATAACACTTTGTCAGGACCAAGAGTCGATCACTCCTACAATGTTTCAGTTTAATCGGCCTAGCAGAACTTGACTTTAAGTTTGAAATAGTTTTTCAAAATGGCTGCCGTGGCGGCCATATTGGATTTCTGATCGACCCGAAAAATAATAACACTTTGTCAGGACCATGAGTCGATCATTCCTACCAAGTTTCAGTTCAATCGGCCCAGCAGAACTTCACTTCAAGTTTGAAATAGTTTTTTCAAAATGGCAGCCGTGGCGGCCATATTGGATTTCTGATCGACCCGAAAAATAATAACACTTTGTCAGGACCATGAGTCGATCATTCCTACCAAGTTTCAGTTCAATCGGCCCAGCAGAACTTTACTTAAAGTTTGAAATAGTTTTTCAAAATGGCAGCCGTGGCGGTCATATTGGATTTCTGATCGACCCGAAAAATAACAACACTTGGTCAGGGAGATGTCAGTAACCTTCCCATGAAATATTAATGAAATCTCTTTGCCAGTATTTCAGCTTAAGTTGAAAATGTAAAATGTTAACAGACGACGCACGACGGCTACGACGGACGAAGACGTATAGCAATAGGTCACTTGAGCTAAAGCTCAGGTGACCTAAAAAAATCTTGGTATAGTTTGAAAGATAGATAATTGTTCTTTCAATAGCACTCTATATTCACGTAAGATTTTAATCTCCATGCGCCGAAATGATCTCCGATTCCTCGAAGAACACACGTCATTTCGATATTTCTTTTTTATTGTGCCACGTCTAATATTACTTGCTTTACATCAAGTAGGTCCAAATAACATATTGTAGCAAACTCTCATGTCCCTGTGGTTTTTCATTGGTCATCACACTTTTCATATAACAAGATATTGTATCGACATTCTCACTACAGCCGGAAGTTGTGACAAAATTAGAGACATCAACCCTGTAGCCTTTATAGTTGGTCAAGGTCATTCATTTTAACAAACTTGCTCTGCTTACCAGCAAGCTACTACCCAAATTTTATTTCCCTGTGCCTCTTGGTTACTCGGGAGAATAAGTTTAAGAAGGAGTTGACACAGACGGATGACAGATGCCACACCATTACAGAAGCCAATTTGTTCTAGGTGAGCTAAAATCCGGATATCCACAACCAAGCGATATCTTAGTGACTAAGATGACCGGATATCAGTCACAAAGCCATGTCACAATGACCAAGATGACCGGATATCCGGAATCAAGTGACATCAATTATCTGGCCTTTTTGTGTAAAACCTCTCGCTTTTAGTCTTAGTTTTCTTCAACTTTGAAATATTTCATACAAATTGGACCAGATATCAGTGACGTCACAAGGACCGATGTTTCACAGAATGCAATCGTGGAAAACGTGTTGACATTACAGACAGAAACAAAACTCCGAAACATGAAGTATGGCTATGAATATTTTAATATGAAATTCGCTTGATGATAAGAGAATGTGCAATTCCCCGACGTCCTTCTCTCGAAGCTAACGCACATGGTATTTTGACAATCTTATTGAAAGAAAGGCGCTTTTACGAAAATCTAATAAACACGACAGTTAATGTAAAACGGCCTATTAACGTTACAGTTCCGTTTGTGCCTTGCCAGTTAAAGTACAAAGCTCACACACCTGAAGTCCAGACTTTACAGAGTGCGCCTCTCTATAAACTCGTGTGCAGGTAGCCGACTTCGTTCCCGCCTCGTTGCACGTTGTTCAGACGCTCCCCACTTTCGTCCCTGTGGCCGCACTGAGAGAACTCTCGCCTTATACACGGTAACATGTTTAAATCTGTGCTCTACATTTTCTATAATTCAATACACGTGCGCATTAACAAGCATGTGGTTTTCCGTCAGAAGTTAAGTAACAATTCATAGTTCTGTAAACCTAGTGTAAGTATTGTCAGCATTGTGTAGGTCTGGTTAGCTTGGAATGACAAGTTGGATATAGATGTATACATATAATTCAACCATGGCAAATAAATGCATGTGTGTCAGGCACTTTTTCGCTACATTATAAAATAAAATCTCGTCACTGCATCACGTATAAACTCTGTATATTTGTAACGCTGTTCAAACTAAAAAAATCTCGGAGAATATTGTGACCAATATTATCACTATAACAAATAAATAAATATATTATCTGTATAATAATCCCGTTGTCGTTAAGTACTGTTCTAGATGCTCTTAACTGCGGTCCTTCCACTGCGACATCCATATCAAACAAAGCTTTAATTTTGGACAGACGAACTATGCGAGAGACTTATAGATAGCTCGGACATATAGACATTAATATTTCGTTTATAAGTGTCTTCTAGACGTTTCTTTTTAAAAATATTGGTGAAATTGTCTGTCCAGTGCTGGTGTTCACAATGATTAAATAACGAGATGTGTCCTTCGTCCGTTGTATCGTTGTGATGTCTGTCTGCTGGTCACGTGATGGCTATGTATATTTGTCCGTACATCTGTCCAATACATTGGACAGCGCCAGATCGTCCTCGTCGTTAGCCTGAATTTCTGTGTGCACTCCTTTCAGCTTACTCTTCAGCTCCTTCAGACTGGAAGAGTAAAGCATCTTCTCCATGGTTTTACACGAGTCCGGACTCCTGGTGACGGAACAATAGTAAATTAGAGGTCACGAAACAAAACAGTCAATTACAGGTGATAAAACACAACAGTCAACTACAGGTGACAAACACAACAGTCAATTACAGGTGAACAAACACAACAGTCAATTACAGGTAACAAAACACAACAGTCAGTTACAGGTAACAAAACACAACAGTCCATTACAGGTAACAAAACACAACAGTCCATTACAGGTGACGAAACACAACAGGCAATAACAGTTGACAAAACACAACAGTCAATTACAGGTGACGAAATACACCAGTCAATTACAGGTGACAAAACATAACAGACAATAACAGGTGACAAACACAACAGTCAATTACAGTTACAGGTGAACAAACACAACAGACAATAACAGGTGACAAACACAGCAGTCAATTACAGGTGACAAACACAACAGTCAAGTACAGGTGAACAAACACAACAGTCAATTACAGGTAACAAAACACAACAGTCAATTACAGGTGATAAAACACAACAGTCAACTACAAGTGAACAAACACAACAGTCAGTTACAGGTGACAAACACAAAAGTCAATTACAGGTGACAAACACAACAGTCAAGTACAGGTGAACAAACACAACAGTCAATTACAGGTGACAAACACAACAGTCAAGTACACAAAACACAACAGTCAGTTACAGGTAACAAAACACAACAGTCCATTACAGGTGACAAAACACAACAGACAATAACAGGTGACAAACACAGCAGTCAATTACAGGTGACAAACACAACAGTCAGTTACAGGTGAACAAATACAACAGACAATAACAGGTGACAAAACACAACAGTCAATTACAGGTGACGAAATTCACCAGTCAATTACAGGTGACAAAACACAACAGACAATAACAGGTGACAAACACAACAGTCAATTACAGGTGACGAACACAACAGTCAGTTACAGGTGAACAAACACAACAGTTAATTACAGGTGACAAACACAACCGTCAGTTACAGGTGAACAAACACAACAGTTAATTACAGGTGACAAACACAACAGGCAGTTACAGGTGAACAAATACAACAGACAATAACAGGTGAACAAACACAACAGTTAATTACAGGAGACAAACACAACCGTCAGTTACAGGTGAACAAACACAACAAACAATAACAGGTGACAAAACACAATAGTCAATTACAGGTGACAAAACACAACAGTCAAGTGAACAAATACAACAGACAATAACAGGCGACAAAACACAACAGTCAATTACAGGTGACAAAACCCAACAGACAATAACAGGTGACCAAACACAACAGTCAATTACAGGTGACAAACACAACAGTCAATAAGAGGTGAACAAACACAACAGTCAAGTACATGGGACAAACACAACAGTCAAGCACAGGGGACAAACACAGCCGTCAAGTACAGGGGACAAACACTACAGTCAAGTACAGGGGACAAACACAACAGACAATAAGAGGTGAACTAACACAACAGACAATAACAGTTGACAAACACAACAGTCAAGTACAGGGGACAAACACAACAGACAATAAGAGGTGAACTAACACAACAGACAATAACAGTTGACACACACAACAGTCAAGTACAGGGGACAAACACTACAGTCAAGTACAGGGGACAAACACAACAGTCAAGCACAGGGGACAAACACAGCCGTCAAGTACAGGGGACAAACACAACAGTCAATTACAGGGGACAAACACAACAGTCAAGTTCAGGGGACAAACACAACAGTCAAGTACAGGCGACAAACACAACAGTCAAGTACAGGGGAGAAACACAACAGACAATAAGAGGTGAACAAACACAACAGACAATAACAGTTGACAAACACATCAGTCAAGAACAGGGGACAAACACAACAGACAATAAGAGGTGAACAAACACAACAGTCAATTAAAGTTGAACAAACACAACAGTCAGTTCCAGGTGAACAAACACAACAGACAATAATAGGTGAACAAACACAACAGACAATAATAGGTGAACAAACACAACAGTCCATTACAGGTGAAAAACACAACAGTCAATTACAGGCGACAAACACAACAGTCAATTAAAGTTGAACAAAGACAACAGTCCATTACAGGTGACAACCACAACAGTAAATTACAGGTGAACAAACAAAACAGTCAATTACAGGTGATCAAACACAACAGTCAATTAGAGGTGACAAACACAACAGTCAAGTACATGGGACAAACACAACAGACAACTACAGGTGACAAACACAACAGTCAATTACAGGTGACAAACACAACAGTCAATTACAGGTGACAAACACAACAGTCAAGTACATGGGACAAACACAACAGTCAAGTACATGGGACAAACACAACAGACAATTACAGGTGACAAACACAACAGTCAATTACAGTTGACAAAACACAACAGTCAACTACAGGTGACGAAACACAACAGTCAATTAGAGGTGTACATACACAACAATCCGTTAACTGTGTAATCTTGTTTATAAATGTGTTATATTGTATATAACTGTAATTTACAGGTGACAAAACACAACAGTCAATTACAGGTGACAAAACACAACAGACAATAACAGGTAAAAAAACACAACAGTCAATTACAGTTGACAAAACACAACAGTCAACTACAGGTGAGGAAACACAACAGTCAATTACAAGGTGACAAAACACAACAGTCAATTAAAGTTGAACAAACACAACAGTCAATAAGAGGTGAACAAACACAACAGATAATAACAGGTGAACAAACCCAACAGTCAATTACAGGTGCCAAACACACCAGTCAATTAGAGGTGTACATACACAACAATCCGTTAACTGTGTAATCTTGTTTAGAACTGTGTTATATTGTATACAACTGTGTAGTCTTGTTTATAACTGTGCTATATTGTATATAACCGTAATCTTGTTTATAACCGTGTTATATTGTATATACCTGTAATCTTGTTTATAAATGTGGTATATTGTAGATAACTGTTTAGTTTTGTTTATAACTGTGTTATATTGTATATAACTGTGTTGTCTTCTTTATAAATGTGTTATATTGTATATAACTGTGTAGTCTTGTTTATAACTGTATTATATTGTATATAACTGTGTAGCCTTGTTTATAACTGTATTATATTGTATATAACTGTGTTGTCTTCTTTATAAATGTGTTATATTGTATATAACTGTAATCTTGTTTATAACTGTGTTATATTGGATATAACTGTGTAATCTTGTTTATAACTGTGTTATATTGTAGATAACTGTTAAGTCTTGTTTATAACTGTGTTATATTGTATATAACTGTGTAGTCTTGTTTATAAATGTGTTATATTGTATATAACTGTGTTGTCTTGATAATAAATGTGTTTTATTGTATATAACTGTGTAATCTTGTTTATAAATGTGTTATATTGTATATAACTGTGTAATCTTGTTTATAGCTGTGTTATATTGTATATAACTGTAATCTTGTTTATAATTGTGTTATATTGTATATAACTGTGTAATCTTGGTTATAAATGTGTTATATTATATATAACTGTGTTGTCTTGTTTATAACTGTGTTATATTGTATTTAACTGTGTAATCTTGTTCATAACTGTGTTATATTGTATATAACTGTGATATATTGTATATAACTGTAATCTTGTTTATAATTGTGTTATATTGTATATAACTGTGTAATCTTGTTTAGAACTGTGTTATATTGTATATAACTGTGTTGTCTTGTTTATAACTGTGCTATATTGTATATANATTGTATATATAACTGTGTAGTCTTGTTTTTAACTGTGTTATATTGTATATAACTGTGATATATTGTATATAACTGTAATCTTGTTTATAACTGTATTATATTGTATATAACTGTGTAATCTTGTTTATAAATGTGTTATATTGTATATAACTATGTAATCTTGTTTATAACTGTGTTATATTGTATATAACTGTGTAATCTTGTTTATAATGCGAACCTTAATGTTAGACAAATATTAATATTGGTATTTATTTGTTGTACTCGTGTATCTTCTACAAGTTATTGCTTGCATAATAATCTAGAGATAATTTTTCACTAGTGCATACAAGTATGGGTTTGCGATACCTAGACGACACTTAAACTCCGCTTTACTCACCAATGAAAGAATGCTAGCTTTTCTCTAACTTGGTCGCCTCGCGTTGTAAATTTTACATCAAAAACTCCATATCGACATAGTCCATTATTTGAAGCGTTCATCAATATTTGTTTAAAATCGTCGTAACTTCTATCTGAAAAGATAAAAGAGACACAGTGTTGGTATTTATCAAGAGGACGAATCTCAAATAGTCCGCTTGCAATATACGTTATAGTGTCTTCATTGAAATGCACTGTATGTTAAGCATAGGGAACAAACAAATAGACTTGTATGTCCACTCTCAGCTGTGTGAGGTAACAACGGTAATTTGGAGCCACTGGAGGACGTGAACATAAGTATATGAATTAAGACTTGAGTTAATTGTACGAATCCAGATTAGCTACATGTATTTACTATGGTTCTCACCTGCAGCCTTCGTGTCCACGACGATCCGCTTCTTGTCGTCCGTTATTTTGTATACCACGTAGCTCCATTTGTGCCCCAGTTTCATTTCTTCGAATACCTGCAGGCATTGGTCATCTACAGCGACTCCGGACGACTGGAAATATACGCAACATGTGTTAAAGCAACTTGACCAGCATGTAGTCCCTATCAATCTGACCAGCATGTAGTCCCTATCAATCTGACAGCATGTATCCCCTTTTAATCTGACAAGCATGTAGTCCCTATCAATCTGACCAGCATGTAGTCCCTATTAATCTGACCAACATGTAGTCCCTATCAATCTGACAGCATGTAGTCCCTATTAATCTGACCAGCATGTAGTACCTATTAATCTGACCAGCATGTAGTCCCTATCAATCTGATCAGCATGTAGTCCCTATCAATCTGACCAGCATGGAGTCCCTATTATTCTGACCAGCATGTAGTCCCTATCAATCTGACCGCATGTAGTCCCTATTAATCTGACCAGCATGTAGTACCTATTAATCTGACCAGCATGTAGTCCCTATTAATCTGACCAACATGTAGTCCCTATCAATCTGACAGCATGTAGTCCCTATCAATCTGACAGCATGTAGTCCCTATTAATCTGACCAGCATGTAGTCCCTATTAATCTGACCAGCATGTAGTCCCTATCAATCTGACAGCATGTAGTCCCTATCAATCTGACCAACATGTAGTCCCTATCAATCTGACAGCATGCAGTCCCTATCAATCTGACAGCATGCAGTCCCTATCAATCTGACCAGCATGTAGTCCCTATTAATCTGACCAGCATGAAGTACCTATCAATCTGACAGCATGTAGTCGCTTTTAATCTGACCAGCATGTAGTCACTATTAATCTGACCAGCATGTAGTCCCGATCAATCTGACCAGCATGTAGTCCCTACCAATCTGACCAGCATGTAGTCCCTACCAATCTGACCAGCATGTAGTTCCTATCAATCTGACAGCATGTAGTCGCTTTTAATCTGACCAGCATGTAGTCCCGATCAATCTGACCAGCATGTAGTCACTATTAATCTGACCAGCATGTAGTCCCTATCAATCTGACATACAGTCTCGGGGTGGGTCCGTTATAAATGTAGAGGTGCGATGGAGATGATGGGCAATCAATCTACCAGATTACAAGCTATACGAAGTTGCAAAAGAAGGGCTATCTCGAAAGTCTCGGGTGTGAAGACCGATTTGGGTTTCCTATTCAGCATCCCATGGGTTGTGTTCTATAAATGTACCGGCCGTTTTTGTGCACCCGAACTATATTGTTTGGTAGTATATTAGCCCCCAGGTCCCCTTCGGGTTGATGTTGGACTGTGCCTCGCCTAACCTCTGCTCAAGGATCCCCACACCACTGCCAAAAACTTAAACTACACATTAGAAACCTTGTGTTCCCCGGCATGATTAAAGCATTGATAATTCATTTCTGTAAAGAAAACCATACCTCGCGGGACTTCTATGAAAATAATAACAAAGATGATATAACCAAAATATAATCCACAACTGTGTTCCGTCTGTATTCAGCGCAGCCAGACAAGGAATCGAACCCAGGACCTTAGCTTCTTATACTGTCGCTCTTACGTGTACCAGATGAACAACTTGGTTAACGAAAGTACCTGGCCCAATTGAGCTAATTAAGTGGCTGTTACTTTTTTCCCAAAAATCAGTGGAATTTTCTCGCGTTTTGCCTGCAGTGGACAGAGACCTTTAATCAATAGGTATCGTATATGCTTCCTACTGTCTAAGGCACAGTCACCACAATCCTGCAATGCTGACAACTACACTTATCAAGACGACCATACGAATGTATGTGTGCACTTTTAAAGTGAATTGCTTGAACAGAAACCGCTCATCTTTTCCTCTCTGAACATCTTTTTCATAACTGGTTTGTTCGTTTTCCCCTCAATGCACTTCCAACACCTTGTGCTCAGGTCCTGAAAGTTCTTCCTATCTGAATATGCATAAGAAAGGTTCGACATTTCCTGCACGGCTGTAGCAATGATTATTTTCTGTACGTTGTGTGTCACTATTATTTGCACAGCAGTGTGGGTCAGGGTTTCCAGTAGTAGAGCTATAGCAATGCACGGCTCAAGACAGGAGCTAGGAGATAACAGGTTTTGGATCACATGTTCGTAATCATTTCAGTTTTGGGATCCGACAATAAAAACATGGCTCTTTGCCCGGTGTTTGCAGTTTGCGTACTCCTTCTAGGCGGTGTGTCCTGATTTAAAGTAAAGGTGAGGGATGCGGTGCTCGAGCTCACGTTCGGTTGCGTCGTGCGTGCTATTTTTGGTCTGCCCTCTTAGGTCGCTGTCTGTTCCGTTTGTAGAGCCTCTATTTAGTTCGGTGTAATTAACAGTGACAGCAAACATCAAATTGCTTCTATAATGTACAGTTTACCTACTGCCCATAAGCGTGTCTACATGTTTACGTTACCATCAACCAGTCTGTCAATGGTTCAATGGGTCGTCGGGTTGTGCAGTGGATAGTGCACTTGCCTTCCACCAAGGCGGCCAGGTTCGATTCCCCGATTGGACGTGAAAAGGTTGGGGTCACCTGCCCGACTACCTGGGTTTTCTCCGGGTACTCCTGTTTCCTCCCACATCAAGACCCCACACACGCTAACATCCGGGCCAACAAGAATGATTAATATAAGTTGAAAAAAACTTGTTTCATAATTGTTGTAAAATAAATAAAGTTTATATTTAACCAGTCTGATCAGTTTGATGACGTGACTCGTTTAAAAAATGTGAGCTTTGTATGACTAAGGTATGCACTTTAACCCCAATTAACTGGTTAGTGTTAGTTATGGGTTGGAGTGTTATCTTTAATATATTGAAATTTCTACTCTCTTGTGCCCCAAAATTCAGTAAAATGATTCGTTTAGGTAATAGTTTTGTGTTTCTAACAAGTTAACTGTTTATTGTATTGGGGGAAACCCAAAACTACCTTTTGAAACCATAACGATTACTAACAAATTGTAAATATTCGTTATGGTTTCAGTGTTAATCGTTATGGTTTCAGTGGTACCCTGATTTATTTAACTGGTTTGTGTTGGTCATAATTTGTTTTGTTGTCCTGATAGTGATAATTGTATTTGCTTTGTGTTGGTTGAGGTTTAAGTATTCACTCAATACATCGGGATGGTTCGGATTGGTCTTGGTGTTATTTCTGCCCTCAATACACTTGACTGGTTGGTGTTTATCAAGGTTTTCATGTCAAGGCAGTTCATGAAGTCATAGTTATTCCCTCGGTATTCTGAAATGGTTGGCGTTTATCAATGTGTAAGTGGTGCTCAACACATTTAACAGTGTTTGTCGTAGTTTTAAGGGATTCCCCGATACACTTAATTGGTTGGCGTTGGTCATGGTTTTAGGTAATTCCCCCGATACACTTAACTGGTTGGCATTGGTCATGGTTTTAGTGTGATCCTTTGTCACCTGTCCATTGGTCATGGTTTTAGTGTGATCCTTTGTTACGTGTCCATTGGTCATGGTGACCTATTGCAATCCACCTCCTTCTGTCGTCGTACATCGTCCGATTTGTTCGATTTGTTCAAACTGAGGGGCTAAGGGTCTTAGGGGGTCTCAATAGGGGCAAAAATAGAAAGAAAAAAATCTTCTTCTCAAGAACCAGAAGTGCCACAGGTTTGTTGTTTTGCATGTATGATGCCTTTGGGATGTAGATTCAAATTTGTTCAAATCCTGTCCCTTTTGGCAATAGAAGGGCCACAATGCAGGCTTTTGATTGGTCGAAATTTAGATGTAGTCGGATTTTGTTGAAAATTGGTTTGTAGGGGTAATTGGGTAAGCTGAATTAAATGGTAGGTGTTTCGAACTTTTTGGTTGTCATGATAACCGAGTGGTGGCCACTGATTGGTCAAAATTTAGCTATTATACAACTTGGCTGAAATTTGGTATGTATGTGTATCTGGCTAACGGAAACTTAATGACAAGTGCTTTGAAAAGATCTTTGCCATTGAAACCAAAATGTTGGGGCCTTTAGGGCCAAAACTAGAAATAAAATACAAATCAATGCAGGCTTTTGCTTGGTCGAAATTAAGATGTTCTCGGATTTGGTTGAAAATTGGTATATAGCGGTAATTGGGTATGCTGAATTCAACACCGAGTGGTGGCCTCTGATTGGTCAAAATTTAAATATTCTACAATATTTCGTTGAAAATTGGTATTGTTTGCCAAGTGACCGTTTAGGCCCATGGATCTCTTGTTTATAGATAACATGTTTATTTGCTCTTAGTGCATTTTTCAAAATGATTGACGTCGGTAATTACTCAATAATTAACATAGAATAATTTATTGGTTAGTGATATAAGTATTTCTCTTTTTAGAGTCTGATCGCTTTCCGTCCGTCGTCGTCCGACGTGCGTAACCTTTTTACATTTTCGACTTCTTCTCAAGAACCATTGGATTGAATTTTTGCCAAACTTGGTCAGAATTATCCTTGGTATAGATGAGGCCACAAAATTGAAAAATTGAGATACCTACTCCAACCCCAGGAGCCAGGGCGGGGCCCCAAAGTGAAATTTAATCAATATTTCAAAATTCTTCTTCTCCAGACTCAGAGGTACTACAGTCAATTTCTCTGCATGGATGGAAAGATCGTTCTCCCTTGGGGAGGGGGTAACATTTATTATAGTTTAAATAAGGAAATCAAACTTTTGGGTATATTTTGTTCATTTTCAACAGGAAATTATTCTAACCTGGTGAGAATCATCCTTGGAGGAAGATGGCATCAAATTATGAAATTGGGATTCCTGCCGCAACCCCAGGGACCAGGTCGTGGCCCATAAGGGAAAGTTAACCAATATTTCAAAAATCTTCTTCTCCAGACTCAGAGGTACTACAGTCAATTTCTCTGCTCGGAAGGAAAAATCATCAGGGGCTCTGTTTAAATTGTAAATTTCAGAGCCCCTGGGCCATCCGTTCTACGTTGGGGATCCTGCCCTATCCCCAGGGGCTGGAGGGGTGGGGCCAAAATGGGTAGTATGGTTAAAAGTTAAAAAAATCTTCTTCATCAGACTCAGATGTTTTACTGTTCATGGATAGAAAGGTCTTTACCTAAATTACCATTACCTTAATTGTAAATTTCATTATCACCCAGGTCATCTGTTCTCCCTTGGGGAGAGGGTATAATTCTCAATAGCAAAATAATTTATTTGAAGTTTTTAAAGTTCTTATCCTTTGGTGACATGACAAGTATTGTATTCGCTTTGTTTACATGCTGTTTTCCCACATTTTGTACATCTCAACAATGCCGGTGTTAACTGATTTTTGTTACGTTGTTTTATTATCCGTCCTAAATAGATGATGGGGGTTATATTTGATCCGACACAGAATTACGTATCATCCTGTCAGTATACGCCAGCGCGAACTGTCACGTTATACTTTATAGACTCCTATGAGAAACCACATGATTCACAAAACCAATCATATATGATCTCAATACAGAATGTATGCACGTGTATTGTAGGCGATGAGAATGGAAGCTGGTCGGTAGTCTGGCCTGCATTCATACGTTACGCAGAACGACTTACCCCAATGCCTGCATGTAGCCACAGATACCGTAAATCCAGTGGTGTTCTTCAACATAAAAGCGTTTTACCACAGACGATTGAGTTTAGACATTAGAAATTGAGTTAAGACAAAAGAAAATAAAAGAATATTGTTTTTTTTTCATTTAAACACGCATTTATTAATCCAATTATAATTACCGACTTGAACCTACCCCTCTTAGTGTGGTCCGTCGTTTCTTTATAGTATTTTTGTGAACCACTGGGCTATTTCAAGGTATGTGATTAGAGTATAACAGTGAAAACTCTTCGCCAAGATGGCATCATTTTGCCATCGTTATACGCAGACATTTGATAGACTTCTTCAACTTCCGGGAAATAACGTCACATCCGGAACACGTTGTATTCTCGTTTAAGGTAATTCGCCTAACTGATCGTGCCAGTACACATACAGATTGAGAGTTTATTATAATTGTTTTGACAAATGTCGGAAAGATTGCTACAGCTCGTCAGCTAGAGCAGCTGGTAGCTTTCAGAAAGCTTTACCAGACTCTTCACGAGGTATTCACTTAACTAATAAAACACATGGCAATTGCGTTCTACTTCCTGCTCATCTTACATTCCATATACCCCATTGATCGACCAGCAATGTACTAAGATATTTTACTCCCCCGTTGTTGAGATGGTGCCATTGCTGATCTCGAAACTCTATTAGTATTAATTAAATCTGCTCATAGCCCCCAAAATAATTCGTTTCCGGACACACCGACAGACATATATCACAATCATGACGCATTGCATACGACATTAACATGATTCGACCCTATCAAGATGAAATACGTTTTATAATTTCTACTCAACACAAGGAAAAGCATGCCGGTTTATAATTAAGTCCAGGATAAAACAATGACAGCCAAGATTGACTGTTGGAGGGGTCATTTAAGGCAGCTTGCATGGTACATATGACAGTCTGCCCTGGAGCAGGGTAACACAATCCGGGGGTCGATCTGATAAAGCCCGGGGGTAAGACACACATTAAGGAGGCGCTAACTTACGGGTGCCCCGTTAGTGTACCGTCGTCCCTGCCACGTCAGAAATGCCATGATAAATCCTCCACCCTTGTTTATCCAGTGTTATATGTTAGTGCCTTCAGGACAAGTGCTCGCACGAAATGCACATGCATTCCGTCGTATATTACGTGTATAAGTGTAGTTGCCTCCGCTTAGCCACGAGATTGTTTATTAAAACCACATTTCTATCTGTGTGTGTGTATGTATATATATCGACTGAGGTATGATCTTCCTTATTGAATTCCTGCTCGCATTCTTCATGTTCCTCTGATCTATGACCAGTAACATTTCGTCATCCACAGTCACCAGACACGCCCTGTACTGTATGACGTGGTAATGAGCTACTTAGACTCCAAAGTGATGTTATGATGGGCGCGGACTTATTATTATGTACGCGACGTGCTATGACTACGTTCACACTAACTCACACATGGTACTGAAGATTACTCACGAACAGTACTATAGATAACTTGTAAAGAGTACTGTAGACTGATTGTTCACAAACAGGTCTCTAGATATAACGCTTAAACAGTACTATAGACTTACACAAACCGTGCTGTGGATAATTCAAAACAATACTATAGATTGCTTACAAATAGTTTTGAAAATAACTCGCAATTAGTTGTGTAAATTGCCCATCAACAGTTTTGTAGGTTATTAACAAACAGTTCTGTAAATTTCTCAAAAACGGTATCAAAGATTGCGCAAAAACAGTTCCTAGGTTACTCACAAACAGTTCCGTACATAACTCACAAACAGTTCCTTGGTTACTCACAAACAGTTCCTAGGTTACTCACAAACAGTTCCTAGGTTAATCACAAACAGTTCCTAGGTTACTCACAAACAGTTCCTAGGTTACTCACAAACAGTTCATAGGTTACTCACAAACAGTTCCTAGGTTAATCACAAACAGTTCCTAGGTTACTCACAAACAGTTCCTAGGTTAATCACAAACAGTTCCAAGGTTACTTACAAACAGTTCCAAGGTTAATCACAAACAGTTCCTAGGTTAATCACAAACAGTTCCTAGGTTACTCACAAACAGTTCATAGGTTACTTACAAACAGTTCCTAGGTTACTCACAAACAGTTCCTAGGTTACTTACAAACAATTCCTAGGTTACTCACAAACAGTTCCTAGGTTACATCAGACGAATGTAACTAGCCCTGCATGATATCAGACGAATGTAACTAGCCCTGCATGATATCAGACGAATGTAACTAGCCCTGTTTGATATCAGACAAATGTAACAAGACCTGTCTGATATCAGACAAATGTAACCAGACCTGTCTGTTATTAGACGAATGTAACTAGCCCTGCATGATATCAGACGAATGTAACTAGCCCTGCATGATATCAGACGAATGTAACTAGCTCTGTTTGATATCAGACAAATGTGACTAGCCCTGTATGATATCAGATAAATGTAACCAGACCTGTCTGTTATTAGACGAATGTAACTAGACCTGCATGATATCAGACGAATGTAACTAGCCCTGTTTGATATCAGACAAATGTAACAAGACCTGTCTGATATCAGACAAATGTAACTAGACCTGTCTGATATCAGACAAATGAAACTAGACCTGTCTGATATCAGACAAGAGGCCCAATGGGCCTGCATCGCTCACCTGTTATTAATCTAACCCTTGTAATCTTAAGATTTCATTAGAACCTATTAAAAGATTTAAACATATGACACCTCTGACCTTGATTGTTGAACAAGGACATTAGGTTGAAAGTGGATCAAGGTCATTCATTTGAACTAACACCGTAGTCCTTCATTTCAGCATGCTACAGGCCCAATTTCAGTACCCTGGGCCTTTTGGTTATTGAGAAGAAGTCGCTTGAAAATTTTACAACATTTGACCCCTGTGACCTCTGAAGTTGGTCAAGGTCATTCATTTGAACTAACATGGTAGTTCTTCATCCCAGCATGCTACAGGCCCAATATCAGTACCCTGGGCCTTTTGGTTATTGAGCAGAAGTCGTTTGAAGATTTTACGACATTAGACCCCTGTGACCTTGAAAGTTGGTCAAGGTCATTCATTTGAACAAACTTGGTAGTCCTTCATCCCAGCATGCTACGGGCCTAATTTCAGAACCCTTGCCCTTTTGGTTATTGAGAAGAAGTTGTTTGAAGATTTTAACATATTTGACCCCTGTGACCTTGAAAGTAGGTCAAGGTCATTTATTTGAAAAAACTTGGTAGCCCTTGATCCCAGCATGCTACTGGCCAAATATCATCTTCCTAGGCCTTTTGGTTATTGAGAGGAAGTTGTTTAAAGCAAAAAGTGGCGCCGGACAGACGGACGACGGACGGACGGACGGACGGACGGACGACGGATGCCGCACCATAACATAAGCTCACTTGCCCTTCGGGCAGGTGAGCTAACAAATGTAGCTAGCCCTGTATGATATCAGACAAATGTAACTAGCCCTGTATGATATCAGACGAATGTAACTAGACCTGTCTGATATCAGACAAATGTAACTAGACCTGTCTGATATCAGACAAATGTAACTAGACCTGTATGTTATCAGACAAATGTAACTAGCCCTGTATGATATCAGACGAATGTAACTAGCCATGTATGATATCAGACGAACGTAACTAGCCATGTATGATATCAGACGAATGTAACTAGCCCTGTCTGATATCAGACAAATGGAACTAGCCCTGTATGATATCAGACGAATGTAGCTAGACATGTCTGATATCAGACAAATGTAACTAGACCTGTATGTTATCAGACAAATGTAACTAGCCCTACATGATATCAGACGAATGTAACTAGCCCTGTTTGATATCAGACAAATGTAACAAGACCTGTCTGATATCAGACAAATGTAACTAGACCTGTCTGATATAAGACAAATGTAACTAGACCTGTATGTTATCAGACAAACGTAACTAGCCCTGTATGATATCAGACGAATGTAACTATACCTGTCTGATATCAGACAAATGTAACTAGACATGTCTGATATCAGACAAATGTAACTAGACCTGTATGTTCTCAGACAAATGTAACTAGCCCTGTATGATATCAGACGAATGCAACTAGCCCTGTCTGATATCAGACGGATGTAACTAGCCCTGTCTGATATAAGACAAATGGAGCTAGCCCTGTATGATATCAGACGAATGTAACTATACCTGTCTGATATCAGACAAATGTAACTAGACATGTCTGATATCAGACAAATGTAACTAGACCTGTATGTTATCAGACAAACGTAACTAGCCCTGTATGATATCAGACGAATGTAACTAGCCCTGTATGTTATCAGACGAATGTAACTAGCCCTGTCTGATATCAGACAAACGTAACTAGCCCTGTATGATATCAGACGAATGCAACTAGCCCTGTATGATATCAGACGAAGGTAATTAGCCCTTCATAAAAACAGCCGAATGCAACTAGCCCTGTCTGATATCAGACGGATGTAACTAGCCCTGTCTGATATAAGACAAATGGAGCTAGCCCTGTATGATATCAGACGAATGTAACTAGCCTTGTATGATATCAGACGAATGTAACTAGACATGTCTGATATCTGATAAATGTAACTAGCCCTGTCTGATATCAGACAAATGGAACTAGCCCTGTATGATATCAGACGAATGTTTGATATCAGACAAATGTAACAAGACCTGTCTGATATCAGACAAATGTAACTAGCCCTGTCTGATATCAGACAAACGTAACTAGCCCTGTATGATATCAGACGAATGCAACTAGCCCTGTATGATATCAGACGAAGGTAATTAGCCCTTCATAAAAACAGCCGAATGCAACTAGCCCTGTCTGATATCAGACGGATGTAACTAGCCCTGTCTGATATAAGACAAATGGAACTAGCCCTGTATAATATCAGACGAATGTAACTAGCCCTGTCTGATATCAGACGAATGTAACTAGCCCTGTCTGATCTCAGACAAATGTAACTAGCCCTGGATGTTATCAGACGAATGTAACTAGCCCTGTCTGATATCAGACAAATGTAACTAGCCCTACATGATATCAGACGAATGTAACTAGCCCTGTCTGATATCAGACAAATGTAACTAGCCCTGTATGATATCAGCCAAATGTAACTAGACCTGTATGATATCAGCCAAATGTAACTAGACCTGTCTGACATCAGACAGATAGGTATTGTGTCCCCTGCCCGTTCCGTAGGTTTTCTCCGGGTACTCCGGTTGCCTCCCACATTAAGGCCACCTGCGCGCCGAAATCTTGGCCAACAAGAGTGATTAATATAAGTTGAAATTACTTATTTCATAATTGTTGTAAAATAAATAAAGTTTACATACGGTATATATACATTAGACAAATGTAACTAGTCCCGTGTGGAATTAGAAAAATTATACTGGCCCTGTCTGACATATTAAACACGAAGTCACAGAGCGACCGCATTTATTAGGTTTTTTTGGAGGCATACCATATAGGTTACCAATGGGGACGTGATTCCGACAGCCTCGTTCTATTTTCCAAACATATTTCTATACAGAAAATGCCAAAACTACAATGTGAAAAGTAAGTGTTTCCCGAAGATCAGCCTAATCTAGGTAGAGCAATCTGCTCACGGATGTTAAAGTTCACCGTGTAGGAAATCCGCCGGATTTTTTTAATTTAATAATGAAAGTTTGGACAATGCATGTATGTAGTTTGTCTTTACTACAGGTACCTTGTCCGGTTAATGTACTTGATAGGGTTAATCACACGTAAAGACGCCTCATTCTTTGTTATAACTCAGCACCGACAGGCCTGCTAGAGGGGGAAGGAGCCAAGTAGTCATCGAGTAAGATTGTATATTAAAGCTGGCGCGTGCGCTCACGCGTTGCAGACAGAGTCTGTTCACGTGCCAAGGCAATGTACACAGTAGGTAGGGGATGGTGAATGCTATCTTGTCGTTATATATAGTGAGAGATCAAGCATAGCTAAGTTCCTATTATTAACGTCCAAGTCACAACTTATACGGAGTATTGAAACAGAATAAGAGTATTGCAATTTGCTGTCTGAAGTTAGTTTGTTTATTTTAAACAGGAAATAGGCTTTAATAATTGGATCATATTGCATTAAAATAATACAAAAATATATTTATCTTTCTGTGATATGCCATTTCGTTTGCCAACACGAGTAGAATGTGCTGGACAATTACCAGGATGACAACCAGAAGTGACGTAATGTGGTCATTGACCCGGAAGCAATAACCAACACTCGACACAACCAGATGGCACGCGCCATCAATTACAAGTAGACATACGAAAAGGCCCTCCACTATGGGGTCATTGTTATCGTTACACATCTGGTGTGACGTCACAAGGTGGACTTTACGAGTCGTCTCGTTCCAGCGTTAACTGTTATATGTAACTCATTCACTGACGTGTACCTAACCCATTCCTCAGTTTGTATAGTTTATGAGTAATACCTCCTTGTACAGTTCAACAGAACAATTGTTAACGCAAATAATACCAGCGTACCATTGGCGATATGCGGAGAGCCTAGCAACGTTGGAAGTTTCCGTCGTAAATACTTGTGTTGGCATAGCACTAAGCGTATACCGGCAGCAGTCTACAGAAGCGACCAGAAACAACACATACCAAACATTCCAGAGACATCAACCTTGCGCGTGTCTACTATTACACATAATATAAATACAAATTAAGTAATTTCTTAACGCATGTATCACTAAAACAAATCCATTTTCACCAGGACGATTTTGAAAATATTGAAATATCTCAGTTAAATTCGACTGCGGAGAAAATTAAGAGAAACATGATGAACAAATAAAACTTTCTCTGTCGACGATGATGACATGAAGAGATTGAAACCATGTATAACTTTATGTAGACTATGCTAATCCAGTGAAATGTACGCTCAACCAGTTTGATATCTACTGAATAGGGAAATCGTTTGGATAGTATAGACAGTATATAAGAAATATCAATGACATCACAATTAAATTTATGAAAAAGTTTCAGGACATTTTCTTCACAAATCCTCATCAAACATTGTTGATGAAATGTCTGACGAGTGTTTGGAGAGGTATCTTTTATGAGTGGTCGAGTGATACGGTTATGAAGTACAATATAAAAGAAAACTTACCATGACGAGGGGGTAGCGAGGTCCGCGAACGCTAACACGAGACTATCAATGGAACACTCTCTCGCGTGCTTTCCTTACCAAGTTACTATAAATAGCTCGAGGTGCAACTCCGACTTACAGAACCGCTCCCTCGCCGAACCTCGGGTGAGCGAGTCAAAGTAATTTACTGGCCGAACAAGGGCAGTGACACTGGTAAGTGACAAGATGTCTAGCGGTCAGTTTGTCACTTCTAAAAGTTTTCCAAGGTCACCATATTTGGTCAGAAGGGGCATACTTCGTCGAAAGCACAGTGTAAACAATGGACTCCAAAGAGCTTCAGTCCGACTTCAACTGTCAACGTTGAGCAGGAAAAGTTTCCATTATGGACTGGTCTGGTTAATACGACAATGCTTGTCTTGCTGAAGATTGATTGTACGAATAGGGCTACTGTTTACGGTTGCGACTGATCAAAGTGGTTAAAGCTGTGGACTATACAGTTCTCATTATAAACTGTACAGGTCATAGTCATACAGGGTTATTTATACAGGTCTCTCTGAAATGTGGTTTGAGCATGGTTCTAGTCACACTGGTGTTACTTTTACAGGTCACAATATAAACTATGGACTGGTCAGATCATAGTCACACCGGTGTTACCTTTGCAAGTCTCAATATAAAATATAGACTGATCAGGTCATAGTCACACTGGTGTTACTTTAAGAAGTCACAAATAAAATATGGACTGGTCAGATCATAATCACACTAGTGTTACTTTCACAGGTCACAATATAAAATATAGACTGATCAGGTCATAGTCACACCGGTGTTACTTTTACAGGTCACAATATAAACTATGGACTGGTCAGATCATAGTCACACCGGTGTTACTTTTGCAAGTCTCAATATAAACTATTGACTGGTCAGGTCATAGTCACACCGGTGTTACTTTTGCAAGTCTCAATATAAAATATAGACTGGTCAGGTCATAGTCACACCGGTGTTACTTTAACATGTCACAATATAAACTATGGACTGGTCAGGTCAAAGTCACACTGGTGTTACTTTTACAAGTCACACTGGTGTTACTTTTACAAGTCACAATATAAAATATAGACTGGTCAGGTCATAGTCACACCGGTGTTACCTTTGCAAGTCTCAATATAAAATATAGACTAATCAGGTCATAGTCACACCGGTGTTACTTTTGCAAGTCTCAATATAAACTATGGACTGGTCAGGTCATAGTCACACTGGTGTTACTTTTACATGTCACAATATAAACTATGGACTGGTCAGGTCATAGTCACACTGGTGTTACTTTTACAGGTCACACTATAAACTATGGACTGGTCAGGTCAAAGTCACACTGGTGTTACTTTTACAAGTCACAATATAAACTATTGACTGGTCAGATCATAGTCACACTGGTGTTACTTTTACATGTCACAATATAAAATATGGACTGGTCAGATCATAGTCACACTGGTGTTACTTTTACATGTCACAATATAAACTATGGACTGGTCAGGTCATGGTCACACTGGTGTTACTTTTACATGTCACAATATAAACTATTGACTGGTCAGGTCATGGTCACACTGGTGTTACTTTTACAGGTCACAATATAAAGTATTGACTGGTCAGATCATAGTCACACTGGTGTTACTTTTACAAGTCACAATATAAACTATGGACTGGTCAGGTCAAAGTCACACCTGTTACTTTTACAGGTCACAATATAAACTATGGACTGGTCAGGTCAGTCACATTGGTGTTACTTTAAGAAGTCACAATATAAAGTATTGACTGGTCAGGTCATAGTCACACTAATGTTACTTTGACAGGTCAATATTGAAAGAGTTGATACATATACAGGGCTGTCATTGCATTTTTTGTCACGTTAAAATATCAAGTATCAAGGTTCTGGGTCTCATTGACCGTGACTGATTCCCGCAACATCATCTCAGAAAGTAGACCTGGCCCAAGGGACCCAGAAACTTGCTATATCACTCACTATCTCTTTACTTCCTTTTGAACCCACAGATAGATTTAACTACATTTAAGAACACTTTGCCTTCATTAACTTTCAGAGACTACAGTTGTTACCACATGTGGGTCACCAAAGGACAACATGACTGATAACCTAAGGGTTATTCCATAATTTACCACATGAGGAGGTGGGATGCACCTGTATCAATTTATCATGGGTGGTGGGGTTAAATCAAATCGGCCTACATTTCGTTACAATTAATTGTTTTTAGATCTTATCAGAAGTGGGGTCTCTGAAAAAGTGCCTTCCATTCCTGCCCTATGGTTAATTGAAGAACAACCCTAAGCTGACTCGGTTTTTAGAATTTTCCTACTAAGCCCCCAAATTCACACATTAAAGAAACCTCAAAGCTAACAAACGTTATTCAGCTCAAGCAACCATCTGCATGACTTAAAGAAAAACACCAACGATATATCATTTTATAATATTTTATATGGAACCAGGGACGTGGTATAAACCATTCAAACTCTCACAGAAATCACACACCTTACATTTCACTTCACTTCATTCACACACACAAAAATGTCTTGATCCATGTTTTAATTCACCTTCATATTGCTTTAACACTTTCATTTTATCCAAATTCTTTTTATTATCAATCAAGCTTTGAATACCGATGAGCAAATTGTATGCAAAATATGTGTTTTTTAATAGCTATTAATTGAATATAGGAATTTTTTTGAATTACGATTTTTTGTAAAAAAATTGTCATTGAGTTATAATCATATTCTATATACAGCCCCACACAGTGTTTATCTTCATTCTCATAGGAAATGCCAACAAAAACACATCTACAAACTTCTATCATTTAAATTACAAAACTATTACAACATAAACATTCCTCAACGTTCACCATATGCTATTATGATCAACATAAAATTAACTGATTTAGAACACTCACACTTACGTAGCACAATTTCTGTCTACTTCACAATAATTAATTTTAAATTTCCAAAACTTAATTTACATTGATAACTCTACAGATCTTCTTATAATAAGCAAAGATTTCCCCCTGACTTTTCTAGGTTTCCTCACACCTAAAACACTAGCATAAACATGGAATCTGTAAATATTTAATGTCTCATAACAATGATCTGCCACTCATCTTCCCGTAAATCCTGACTTACAGCAACTATTTCCTCAATCAAGAACCAAAATAGTGTTTCCAAGAGAAACAAGGCTTTTCCAGACATAACAGTAGTAGGGATAAGAAGGTTCCCTAAACTTACAACATTGGTTTTGTGTTTCTAAATCATTTTAGTCGATTTTCAAATTATAAAAAGACACCTGGTAAAACTTTTTTTTTTGCTATTTGCAATTTGTCAATTAGAGTTAGACAAGCATGAAAATCAACCAGTAATGGCTGGGAATCTCTTCGTCCATAAACATATAGCCTATTGCCTGCTTACAATTTACAAATTTTCATGGTGGCAAGTGACCTTACCATTAAGAAATCAGAACAAATTCTGTCGAGTAAAATTAATATATTATTATGTACACAATATTACAAAACTACATTTATACACTATAAATAAATGTTTAAGCAGAAGATGTAATTTGTTTAGTCACTCATTATTTTACACATAATTTAAGACAAAATACTATAAATACAAGTACTCAGCACACTGTTATGTACCTTTATAAATTACAATTTCTATAAAATGTGTTTTTACATTAAACATTAGATATAAAAATTCTCAAAACATTTTAGATTTGTTCATTCCCCAGCATGCTGCTGAATAAGCTCACCCATGATTGATTTTATACAAACATACAGAAAGTGACACCAATTGTTAAGTATGCTATACTAAATTCTGATAGGTAAACAAAACTATGGTTTCTAAAATATCAATATGCTATACAAATAACGAACAGCTGCCATTAATATCTAGCTTAATAGACTGTCAGCTGCACTGTATCAAAACACCTACAGCTACCGCAAATACTTAGTTTAACCAATGGTCAACTGCCCTGTACCAAACAGTTTAACACATCCAGCTACAACCAACACTTAGTTTAACCAATGGTCAACTGTCCTGTACCAAACACCTACAGCTACGACCAACACTTAGCTCAACCAATGGAAAATAGCAGTGTACCAAATAATGAACAGCTACCACCAAAACTGAATTTAACTAACGGTCAACTACACTGCATCAACACACTGACAGCTACATATACCACCAATACTTAGTTTAACCAACGGTCAACTGTGTTTCACTTAACACCAACAGCTACCACCAAAACTTCCATTTCCATCAGACCCGAAATATCCCCCTCCCTGTCCAACACAATACACCTCCAATTCCATCAGACCTAGGATATCCCCCCTCACTGTCCAACTGGGATAGTAGTATCCATTTTATGTTTCTGTTTCTGCCATATAATTGCCTCCTTCATCATGCAATATTTATAACTAAGGCGCGGCAAGCCCAGGGAAATTTTGGGGGACTAGGGACTTAATATCTTTTACTAGTCATTGTGCAAATTCCACTAAACACAATATTATTCAACAAGATAAACATTATCAAATTTTGACTAGTCTCAGAATATCGGGCTACCCTTAATGTCTAGCCCTAAATATACACCTCTATTTCCATCTGACCTGGAATATCCCCCTTACAGTTTCTTAACCTCCATTGCCATCAGACCTGAGATATTTCCCTTAGTTTTGACACCTCCATTTCCATCAGACCCAAGATATTCCCCTTACAGTTTTGACAACTCAATTTCCATCAGACCTGAGATATTCCCCTTACAGTTTTGACACCTCCATTTCCATCAGACCCGAGATATTCCCCTTACAGTGTTGACACCTCCATTTCCATCAGACCTGAGATATTCCCCTTACAGTTTGTATACCTCTAGATCTGTTTCCAATAGACCTGGAATATTCTTCTCACAGTTCTACACCATAACCACTCTATCAGACCATTCAGGTGTGGTTGCTGATACTACTTTGAGATAATCAAAACACCTTTTCCTCTAACCAAGATGGTATGCTCTCAGATGTGGTTGAAGATACTGTTCTGTGAGAATGACGAGTCCTTTTTCTCTAACCGAGGTTTCTTGGCTGCTGGTGTATTTTTAGTGTTAGGAGTATGAGCTTTCCTCACCCTTGGACCTAATGTAGGCTTCTCACTTGAGACCTGAAAATAACAATGTGATGATTGTATTTCAGGCTACAGTATGTACAAAGTATTTTGGAATATTCTTTGGCGTCATACAGACTAAATTTATATCGTTTAACTTGTCTTAGCTAGAAATGTATTAAAACACCCAACAGTTGTTTATTACAATTATTTTCAGCAGAAAATATATGCATTGCTACCAAGGAGACAACCAACTTCTGTTCATCAAATTTGTCAACACTTCATTAATGTACAGAAAGGGTGTACAAGGATGATATAGTTGTGAATGGGCTCTTCAGATTATTAGAGAAAGTGAGCAAAGCTTACAACACCCTCTGCCCCTGCTGGTTCTATTATGAAATTCTATTCTAGTAACAGTGATCTTGACCTCTGACCAATCAAGCCTATAAGGACTGTAACCATTGTTCCTATTATTAATAACAGTGACCTACAATTGACTATTAAATAATAACCTAATTCAACCTTTTCAAAAGTTTGTCAAAGGTAAACTTACCAAAAGTAAAAATCTTTCGATCATGACCGTGAAATTCTATTTTCTGTAAGATACTTGGCTATTTAACTGAACTGAACAAGGACACATCAGAATATTACATTTTGTTATGAAAAGATAATAGTTTGAGTAAATGATGAATCCTTTACCTTAGTTCCAGACTTGTTTTCTTTATCCTTCCCTGGAGAGATGACTTGAAAGGTGAGATTACGAGAGTTTCTCGGACCACCTGTATTCAGAATACTGCTGCCCTTGTTAAACTCAGCTATCTTTGCTAATGAATCCTTATCGCGGCTGAGAAAGGAGCCACGTTTCTGTCCCTGAAAAAAATAGAATTCATGCAAATATACGAATAAATTATTTTTCAGTAATGACTTTGCCAAGATGTCATAGGGAAAAAATACTCATGTTTCCTGTTGTGTGATTAACAATACATTTGCTGTGTGAGGAACAAAATTTCTACTTTTGTACTTTTGTGCTGTGTTGAAGAACAAGCCTTGTAATTTCGTGCTGATGTGGAGCAAGAGTTACAGTTTTAGGTAATGTTATTCTGTAACAATCAAATGTGGCACACAAGGAATTGATCCAATGACATACCGCTAGTTTGAAGAGGTTGGGAGTAGGTGTGTCCTTCCTCTTGGGGGCAATGTCTGGGTCCGTCGGTGTTCTGGGTACAGAGATACTGCTGTTGCTGGTGTCAGACTCTGTAACAGGGCAAACAGCATTACTTATAAAGTCACTTTTAATTAACATATAAATATATTCAGTGATTTCTATTATAGTATAAAATGGTGAGTATTCTTTAACATTATTTATTGTCATGTGTATAAACAAATGATTCTGAACAATGCAGATTTCTGTTTGGGTAAACATTGTATTTTCTTCCTAGAGCAAGTTCCATTGAGGAATAATAGTGAGTTTTCTTATAAGCCAGGTTCAAATTACCAATCCCCTAGTAGTTAATTAACCAAATTTGGTAAATTTCTTGACAAACTGGCAAAGAGAGTAAAAAACAAGAGGGCCATGGGCCTTAACGGTCACCTGATATATTTATACAGAGAGTTGATTTTGTTTTTAACATGAACAGAAATATTATTCAAAGTGACAAAAAACAACAAGAGGCCCAAGAGGGCCTGTATCGCTCACCTGAATATTTAAGCGGTCATAGCAAAATATTCTCATTAAATATTATATTGCACTAAAACTATTTCCCTCGCAAACTTTGTTGGCTCCATCTGTTGAAACTACCAGCAAAAAATTATTATAAGATTCTATGCTTTTTGATTCTTCTTCAGAAGTTGCTTGACATACTTTTCCCTGTGATCTTGTAAGTAGGTCAATGTCATTTTCCTTCTCAAATTGGTTAGCTCTATTCCAAAAAGCTACCAGCCAAATCTTATGATTCCATTCCTTTTAGTTCTCAAGAACAAATCCATTAAAATGTTGTTGACCTCTGTGACCTCTAAAGTAGGTTGAGGTCATTTTCATTTGCAAACTTTGGTGAGCTCTATCCCGGGAAGTCACCAGCCAAATATTATAATTTTATGCCTTTTAATTCTTCAGAAGAAGCTGTTTGAACTGTTTGACATATTTGAACGCTGTGACCTTGAAAGTAGGTCAAGGTCATTTTCATTCGCAAACTTTGTTTGGCTCTTTCCCAGGAAGCCACCTGCCAAATATTAAGATTTTATAACTACCAGTTCTTCAGAAGAAGTCGTTTAAAGTGTTTGACATATCTGCCTCATGTGACCTTAAAAGAAGGTCAAGGTCATTTTCATTCTCAAACTTTGTTCGGCTCTTTCCTAGGAAGCTACAAGCCAAATATAGAGATTATATACCTTTCAGTTCTTCAGAAGAAGTCGTTTGAAGTGTCTGACACATTTGACTCCTGTGACCTTGAAAGAAGGTCAAGGTCATTTTCATTCTCAAACTTTGTCGGGCTCTATCCAAGGAAGCCATCAATCAAAAATAAAGATTCTATACCTTTCAGTTCTTCAGAAGAAGTCATTTGAAGCTTTTGACATATATGACCCCTGTGACCTTGAAAGTAGGTCAAACTAGTTTTCATTCTCAAACTTTGTTGGGCTCTATCCCAGGAAGCCACCAGCCAAATATAAAGATTATATACCTTTCAGTTCTTCAGAAGAAGTCGTTTGAAGTGTTTGACACATTTGACCCCTGTGACCTTGAAAGAAGGTCAAGGTAATTTTCATTCTCAAACTTTGTTGGGCTCCATCCAAGGAAGCCATCAGCCAAATATGAAGATTCTATACCTTTTAATTCTTCAGAAGAAGTCGTTTGAAGTTTTTGACATATTTGACCCCTGTGACCTTGAAAGTAGGTCAAACTAATTTTCAATCTCAAACTTTGTTGGTCTCTATCCCAGGAAGCCACCAGCCAAATATAAAGATTCTATACCTTTCAGTTCTTCAGAAGAAGTCGTTTGTAGTGTTTGACACATTTGACCCCTGTAACCTTGAAAATA